TTTCAGAAAAGTAGACCAAAAGAGACATGCAAAAGCTCGAAAACTATATACTCAACAACATCTCATCATGCTCTGCAATGATGCTTGCATGAAATTCATTCCAACTTTTAAGGCGATTTTATCATGGCCTTCGTACACCCAACTGACATTCTTCACTCTCTACCATTCAAGATCTCTTCGCATTTCAAGCATGGTTCTAAAAAACGGACATTAGTTAATGTGATGGTAGTTTCGTAATGAAACTTCTCTCTCCTCTTATCTTATAATCCGTTTTTGTAAGATGCTGCGTCATTTTACAAGCCTTGCCATACTAATTTTCACGAAAAAAAATTTATAATATACAAAAAGTAATTAGTAATATGCATATAGTTATTTTATGAATCCATTTTAAGGATATATATATATATATATAGGAGAGTGAAAATTTAAAAAAAATAAATTAAATGAATGTAAAAATATTCTTATCACTTTTGATGTGTTTGAATGTAATTTAATGTATCTATGTCTCTTACTCAAAATGAATCTATAAAATAACTACTCGTATACGTCATTAATTACTTATTTATGTATTATAAAATTTCTTATTTTCGTTACATAACAATAATAGCCGTTAATTTATGTTATTGGTTCGCAATTAACGATCTTATATTAAAATTTGACACAAGTTCCGAACTTAGTATATCAAACATTTATTTAGTTAATACAAATAAATGTAGGTATTTGAATTTTAAAGTATTTAACATGTCATATAATTGTGATCATTAGAAACCATCTCTAACAGGCCGTCTTGTTGCGAACGCAATCGCGTCAATGGCCGCGACCAAAACGATGATGTAGAACCACGAAATCAATTTTTTTTATAAAATAACCTTTGACAATTATATTGAGGAAATTCCCACCTAGTCAATTGAACAAACAAAGTCATTTTGTTATGCTATATAAATCTCCTCGAATTATTTAGATTCAACATATATAATCTATGAACTAATGAATAATTCCTTTAGCCCTTATTTCCGATATTTTTGTCATTCCACGAGATCTTGTGCTCGAATCTCTCTATTTCAAAAAGAAAACAGTAATAGTAAATATCGTTAATGAGTGTAATCTAGCCACAAAAGAATTATTTTGATTTAAGCAACGTATGCCTAATAGTCGTTGTGTGATGTCAGTTTTATAATTACTTGAATTATTATAAAGAGTTCCTTAGCTGCATTATTTGCAGCTAGCACGCTTTAAGTATAGCATAAGATTTTCAGGATCGTACGATGAATATGAACACACATAATTAATTCAAGTACGGTAATAATATTATAGATTGGTTGTATTGATATAGAGTCTCAAACGTGCTTACTTTAATTGATTAAAGCTAAAACCAAAGCCCACTTTATTAATTATTAACATCTCTATGGCATTGGCATAGTAGAGAGAGAGAGAGAGGGTGATCATCAATGATACAGTCTTTGATTCGAGTTAAAGAATTCTAAAGCTCTGCTTAAGAGATCTCGAATCCCTAACTATCCCTTCCCATGTTGCTTTGGATGGGATTTGGTTGCTTGCTTGGTTTTAGCTTTTCCCAAAAGAAGAGCCAACGCCAACCGTGAACCAACTCCTCTCTTACCATATTTTATATTACGAAATTATGTTAATTTTTTTTTTTAGAATAAAATAGCATTAAATTTATTGGAAACTGTTTAGTACTATGTAGATATTCAAGTAGATGCCAATCAATTGGCCTCCTATAAAAAGGCAAACAAATACATGTGGCAATGCCCCATTTGCCACCTTCTTGGCTTTCTCAAAATCTACTTGCAGAAAATAGTACTTAGGAATCCGATCCCTTATTTTCTTTCATGGGCCGGTCGGGTTTTTTAATTTATTTTCATTGTCTTCTCTTTTGGACTATACCTTTACAGATTTTTGCTCTTGGTTTCCTGTACAATGTATAAGGATATGAGTATAAATATAAGGGTTTCTTATGTTGAGAGGAGAAAAGAAAAGAAAAATGTACTAGTACTATATATATATATATAGCATGCATGTCCCTAATATACATATTTCTTTTTTTTTTTTTTCCTACTACTTCTCTAACATGAACATACCTAGTAAAGCCAACCCAATCAACACAAATCATTTTTACGTCTCACATGGTTATTCTAATGTCTGGGGCTAAGTAAAGATTAGGTTTTGGTAAAGAAAAGTGGGAGAGAGATTCCATTATTTTACAGCTTGGGTCTTTGAGACTGCAAGTCCCAAGGCCAACTAATAATGACATGAGAGGCAGGGCCAGTACATCAACACTATAAAGGAGTAAAAAAATCCCAACGAGTTTAGAGAATGATAAAAATATCTTTAATATATATATTTTTTAAATTCCTGGATGACCTGTACGTAATAAGCCTTAAGGAGTTCAAACTTAATGGGTCAACTCTGAGAATGTAAGGTAATCATGGCCGTTAGATTCAATTACTTTTGCAGGCGATTCCCCAATCTGTCCGCGGCGCGTGGGGGTGGGGGTGGGGTGGGGGAAGGAGGAGACATTACGACTAATATATAAAAAAATTAACAATTTAGGTCACTCAACAATCATTTCTAATTAGGCTAATAACTATGAAAGAATATTTGACAACTTGTGTCATCAACAGTTGCAAACTCACAATCCAGATTCTTAACTATTTTTTTTTGTTTTCCTAAATAACTTGACCAAGAAAGATCTAGGCCATGTGTTTGTTTATCTCAATTTGCATCAAGATATTTTCTTATTAAACATCAAGGGAACATCATTCTATAGACCAGATCAATGAATTTATCAATTGCCACCATGTATTTACATAAACTTTACAAATATTGTAGAAATCTTCAACTGGGTTCGTTTAAAGGTTGCTTGTTATATATGTACTTGTACAAGACAATCGCTTGTGGACGAGGAGGGCAGCAAGTAGACAACAATTTCATCTCTTGAAGGAAGAGCTACAAGCCTCAGTTGATCCACATTAACACAGCATTTAGACCAAACTAAATCATCCTGGTATATGCGATGTGTCGAGTTTCAAATAATACAAAAAAGAGAATGCTAGATTGAGAACAAAACTTGCCAGTTGTGTTCAGATTTATGAACAGCAATAATTCATTGTTTGTACTACAAAAAATAGTATAGAAAAAGAAATCATTATTATTTATCATTCATTATTCAGATTTCTGTTTTTCCAAGTTTTGAACAATGAACAAACAAAACAGCTAGCCAAAAATACTAGACAGGACAGTCAAGTTATCGCAGCAAGGTACAATACAAATATACAATACAGGACTGCAGTTTCTTAGTTAATACAAGAATAGAGCACAAAAATATGTGAGAGAGAAAAGGAGGGCAGCTAGCTAGATTTTGGGACCTTGACCAAACAAACCCCTCATTAAAAAGCTCTTCTCCCAATAATTTTTTAATGAGAAGGACAAGCTAAAATAAGATACTTAATCTCCAATGAAAGTTGGCAGTGTCAGTTGCTAGGCTAGCCAAGCTAAGCAAAGCAAGGCAAAGCCAACACTTATTGTCATTAAGATTCAGAAAGTAAAGTTATTAACCCCAAATAGCAGGATAGGCGTTGTGGTTAAAAACACTTTGTTTTCTACTATAACCTTTTGAATTTAAAAGTTTTAAGATCAGTGAATGAAGAATTTTATTTCGCTGAAAATATTGGTGTATCCTTAAAATCGTATTAGGAAGATACTTAATCTTAATTATCATACAAACCGAATTTAGAATACCCAGCATACAAAAAGTAAAGTTATTAAAGAAGAGGTGGGAATTGGTAAAGGTTTATTGATCATTTTAATTTTTTACGGTAGCAGTGGCGGTGGTTAATCATCAAGAGCTCTCTTTTTTATGCAAGCGTGGGTATAAATGCAGGACCTTTGCCATTACTCTTCTCTTTCACTCTCCCTTCAAGTACACGATTACCCAATTTTCATTTGCCGCCTCTAAGTAAAAAAGGTTGTGTCTTTCTCTCTCTTTCAAATTCACTTGTGTATGTTTGTGTGTATATGTGTATGTGAGAGTATGTGAGAGCTGAATAAAGCTGAGGGAAGGAGGGTTTTAACCAGAACAGAACAGAACCCAAAGAGTTCAATAAAGTTTTGTTTTTGAGTGGAAAAAGGTTTGAATGAAGAGCAGGGTACCAAAAGTAGCACAGAATCTGAAATGGGTATCTTTCTCTTGCCACTTTTAGCTTCTCTGCTGCTGCCTCAACTCTGACTAGGGTTTTGAATGGCCTATTTATTGTACTGAAATCAATGTTCTTTTGTTTTCTTATTTGACTGCCTTCTTCTCCTGCACACTCTTACAGCTTTCCTTTGAAACTTTCTTTTTTACTGCTTCTCTTGTTTCTTGTGTCCTGGGGGTGCTTTTTTTCGTTCCAATTTTTAGTGTACTTCGAGTTCTTATGTGGGTGAGCTTTGGAAATGGTGGCAATTCATTTTCTTTGATCTTTTGGTACATATTTTGGTATTTGGGGGCTTCAAGTTCAGTGCTTTTGTATTCTTAAGGCCATTAATTGAAGTGGGTCTTTCCTGTTTAGTTCTAATAATAATTGATGTCCTTGTAGTGAGTTAGGCTATAGATATGGTTGGCTTTAGGTAATTTCCTTCTGTTTAGTGTATTGAGTTTTTGACGTAATATCTTGACACCACTGTGAATTGTGAAGTTTCTTACACCAAAAGTTCGAACTTTTTTGTGGTTTGATTTCAGTTGAAGCTTCTTTTTATAGATAGAAGAAACTGGAGGTTTTTGTTTAAATTTATTTTACTATTTCCCTTGCTTCTTTCAGCCCGTGTCTCTTTGATCTTTGGCTAATCTTATTGAGCCATAAGGGAATTCTGGGGTTAGTTAATTTTTCAGATTAACTTTCTATTTGTCTAGAATTCTGTAGACTAGTTACTGACATTTCAAGTATAACTGTGTGAGAGAGGTGTTTCTGTTGGCTACTTCTGCTTATTTTTGCAAAGGAGAGATGGGTATGCGTGAAAAGGATAAATTTGAGTTAGAAAAGAGCAATGAAAATCCTATCAACCACCACTCGCCTGGTGGTATGTCCTCAGACTGGCGATTTAACACTACCTGTATCCCAAATTCATCTCTGGGTTTGGTTCCCGCTGATAATCAGATGCCAGTTTGTAGAGGAGATCTAGTAGGTGCTGCTTCTTGCTCTTCTGCTTCTGTGATAGACTCATTTGGGCCAGCCATGTGGGAACATCCCACCAATTCACAGAACTTGGTTTTTTGTGATATTAATGTTCAAAATATTGCAAGCAGTTCAAACACAGTTGGGATTGGAAAAGGAGCCCCCGCTTCATTGAGAAATGGTATTGATAGAACACTAGAAATGGGGTGGAATCCACGTAATTCAATTCTGAAAGGTGGAATTTTCTTGCCGAATGCCCCTGGGATGCTCCCGCAGGGCTTATCACAGTTTCCTGCTGATTCTGCATTCATTGAGCGTGCTGCCAGGTTTTCGTGCTTCAATGGTGGGAATTTTGGTGATATGGTGAACCCTTTTGGAGTTCCTGAGTCTATGGGTCTTTTTCCGAGGGGTGGGGGGATGATTCAGGGACCAGCAGAGGTGTTCATGGGCAGTGGGATGAAATCAGTATCTGGTGGACAAGCTCAAAAGAATGTTATGAATGCCGGTGAAGCTTCCAAAGATGTTTCTATGTCTGTTGACGATATGGCTACTGAATGGAGCCTTCTCAAGAACGAGACGAAAAGTGAAAGCCTTGCAAGATCTCGTGATGAAGCAAAACAAGGTGTAGGCGGGTCTGGTAATGACTCTGATGAAGCTGAATTCAGTGGGGGTCGTGGTCAAGATGAGCCATCAATGTTGGAGGGCAACTGTGGGGAACTTTCAGCCAAGAGCCTTGGCTCCAAGAAAAGAAAAAGGACTGGACAGGTAGCAACCATGTTCCTAATTGCTTCCTTAATTTTTGGTATGTTGATTGAATTGTTTTTAATGAGCATTTTTTTCGGTGGTAGGATGCTGAGCTTGATCAGGCCAAGGGTACCCCTCAATCTGCTGAACCTGCAAAGGGTAGCCCTGAAACTCAACAAAAGGGAGACCAAAAACCAACTTCAACTACCAGCAAGGGTGGTGGTAAACAAGGTAAACAGGGGTCTCAGGGTTCAGATCAACCAAAAGAAGAATATATTCATGTCAGAGCTCGAAGAGGTCAGGCAACAAATAGCCATAGTCTTGCAGAAAGAGTAAGTTCTTTTTATCAACGCATAAATGGAATCTGAAACAAATCCTAGTTTAGTGACTGGGCTCAAGATTATTGATTCTGAACGCAGGTAAGAAGGGAAAAGATCAGTGAAAGGATGAAGTTTCTACAGGACCTTGTACCTGGTTGCAGCAAGGTCTGTTTGTTGGATTTGATAGCTTCAGGTGTAGCGAATTCTTTGGATAGCTCAATTGCTAATGCAGTTAATGTCATGATATCAATTGGATCTTGCAGGTCACAGGGAAGGCAGTGATGCTAGATGAAATCATCAACTATGTGCAATCACTGCAGCGGCAGGTTGAGGTAAGGCAGTGAGAATCTGTTCCTTATTCCAATTTGGTGGTTCTTAAATAGCAATTGCATATGCATCATGAACTATCGAATGACATCAAAAGTTCATTTGGATAGATGAGCTTTATTACGGGAACGATTTTCTGGATTGGTTTAAACGGAGCAGTGTAAACGGAGCAAATTACTACCTTATATAGTCTTTCTCTTGAGCACTTGCTTTCGACACAATGTCAAACAATTGTAATAATAATCTCTCTGATGGTTTTATTTAACTTGTTTTGTCTTTGCTTCTGTTGAGATTGTTTCATCCTTTTGCAGTTTCTGTCAATGAAGCTTGCAACAGTGAATCCGAGGCTGGACTTTAACATAGAAGGACTCCTCGCAAAAGATGTGAGTATTAGTTAGTTTTTTGTTCTTGTGTGCGCAACCAATCTGGCATATCCAGGGTTTGCATGACCAAGAATTTGCTTATGGATCAGTAAAATGTAACTTCATGTACTGTCCCTGAGCCTCAAAAGCACTTTTTATTGTCAGATCCTTCAGTCACGTGCTGTTCCTCCATCCTCTCTGGCATTTTCCTCAGAGATGCCTATGGTTTGTCCTCCATTACATCAATCTCAACCTGGGCTTATTCCAACTGCTTTTCATGGAATGGAGAGTCATTCTGACATACTCCGGAGAACCATTAATTCTCAATTGACGCCCATGTCTGCAGGATTCAAGGAACCTGCTCAGGTACATCTATAGCTGGCTGTTTGTTTACTGATTATCTTGTTACTCCTTTTTCCCTTAATTTCAGTAATAGTAGCAGATGGTGCTGGAACTATTTTTGTATCAAAGATTTATATAGACAATAACCAAATTGGTGTATTGCGTATATAAATTAATCAAGCCCTGAGGCATAGAGGTCTTTAGGAATCCTTCATGCAGCACTTAGAGGATAATTATGGACTTAGACCTTGCATGCATATTTCTGTCTCTTAATCAACACACTGGTGATATTTTTGACCCTAAGCTGCAGTGGAAACTTCCTAAAGATAAAATACCAAATCAACTGAAATTATTGTTTCCACTTGGCCCATTTGAATTCCGTGTGTTACAATTTGCTTTTGTTTTTGACATTCTTAACAACAGCTACCCAATGTGTGGGATGACGAGCTTCACAATGTTGTCCAGATGAGCTATGGAGCCAGTGCTCCCCAAGACAGCCAAGATGTAAATGGTATGGCCCTTTTAGTTTGCCATATAATAATTCCCGTGCTATAAGCTAAATGATCCCAAGCTGAATACAAATCTTTTTTGTTGCAGAGCCACTGCCACCAGGCCATTTGAAAGTTGAACTTTAATTATTCTCCTTGGTCTTAATGCGTTATATTCTGGCCTATATGCTTCTGTTAATACTTCTTTCCTCCAAATCTTGAAGATGGAGAAATTACAGATGCTTCTGGTTGACCTGTTTGAAGCAGTTGGATGTCCACAGCAGAGGGTTTTGAGAGCTTGGGTGGCTAGAAACTTGTCATTGAGCTGGGGTTTTGGCTTTTACCTGACGACCAGTGTTGTTTGATACTACCACGACCTACAGGCTTCTTTCATTTGAGCATTATAATCCTTTTTACCAGAAATGCGAAATGGATAATTTAGGAGACTTATGAATTCAAAAATGTATAGATTAACCTTCCAAGGATCTTATAAGATAGGGTAATGGGAAGCTCATGTGTCATCGAGCCCATGTAAGTTACAAAACCATGGGAATCATGTTTGTTTGTTAGTCATTAACGGGGTGTGATGCTATTCTTTTTTCTTTCAAATTTTCCTGTTCTCGAGCCGGCAGTAGTTTTGAAAGTAAATTATCCCATAATTTAGATATTTTAAAAACCTCTCACCCGAATTGCATAGGTTAGACTAGTCCTCATTCATGCTCCTTTTCTACAATCATAAAAAGTTCATGCTCCAAAAGTTTATGTAACACCATTGACATTTCGGTCATTTTAATACAGCCTAATCCGAAAAATGAAAAAATAAAATAAAATAATAAATAATAGCTTTACCATCACCTTTTTTTTTTTTGTCTTGTTTTCTTTTTGGTTCAAATTGTAGGTTAGATGCACATAGGTTTTGGATTCCCTTAGATTAGGGTGTTTATATAAGCTAACCAGTGTGTGGAGGGATTTAGGTCAATTTTGATGCTAAAATTATGTTTTTGGTCAGATTAAGACTGTTTCTTAAGGTTAAATAAAAGGAGATTGGACACGCATAAAATTGCGTGCGAGCTTACTTAACAGATCTGTTAACTAAATAGAGAAAGCAAATTGTGGTGATTTTATCTCACAGTAAAAAAATTTAGGGTAAATTGATATAATTAAAAGATTTGAAACTCAATTGATAATAATATCATACATTTAGGGTAAATTTAAAGTTTTTCTAAAAAAATTAATTTCAAAATCTATTTGTTTTCTCTAAGTTATTTTCAACAGGAGATTTTTTTTTTTTTTGTTTTGAGCTGCCAGATGGTATCCGAGTCCTCCTCCATTTTTAAATCCCATTGCATCCTTTATAAATATTCTTTTTCTTTTTTTGATGAATAAATAATTGATCATGTATTTATGTTTTTTATTTTTACATATGAGAAGAAACTTTCTTGGAGCCAAACTGTTTCTATTAAAAGAAGAAGAAGAAGAAGAAGAATGGCACTTTTTTTATGCGTTTGCACCATAAAATTATGTTCAGATTTTAAATCCGGTATATATATATATATATACGTACACATACATATAAAAGGATGTAATTATTGTGTGACGGCTAAATACGGCTGCAGAATATTAGGAGAGTTTTGCTTACTTCTATTCATCTAAACCCATTTATCTTTCTCCGTTCCCGCCAAATATACAGTCCATAACACAATGTCGAATTCCTCGAACTACTACTCTTCCCTGCTACAACTCTGCTGCGAAACCCGAAACCAAACACAAGCCAAGAAGCTCCATTGCCGCATAATCAAGTCTCTAACAAACCCAGAAACCTTTCTCTATAACAATCTCATTGGCGCATACAGTAAATTAGGTAATATAACCTATGCACGTCATGTGTTTGACAAGACACCTCAACCAAACTCATTTTCATGGAACACCATGCTTTCTGCTTATTCGAAATCTGGGAATTTATCAACAATGCAAGATATCTTTAATATCATGCCAAACCGAGATGGGGTCTCTTGGAACTCGCTTATTTCGGGGTATGTGTGTTATGGTTCTTTCAAGGAGGCTGTGAAAGCTTATAACTTGATGTTGAAAGATGGGGTTTTTAATTTGAATAGGATTACATTTTCTACTATGCTTTTGTTGGTGTCGAGTCAAGGGTGTGTTGGTTTGGGCAGGCAGATTCATGGGCAGATAGTGAAAATTGGGTTTGGGGCATACGTTTTTGTAAGGAGTCCTTTGGTGGATATGTATGCTAAAATGGGGTTAATTTCTGAGGCAAAGCAGGTTTTTGATGAGGTTCGAGAGAGGAATGTGGTAATGTATAATACAATGATTACGGGGCTTTTGAGATGTGGGAGGGTAGAGGATTCAAAGAGGCTGTTTCATGGTATGAAGGAAAGAGATTCCATTTCGTGGACAACGATGATCACAGGGCTTATACAAAATGGATTGGAGGCGGAATCTATAGATTTGTTTAGAGATATGAGGCTGGAAGGGATGGCGATAGATCAGTATACATTTGGCAGTGTGTTGACTGCATGTGGGGGGCTTATGGCTTTGAAAGAGGGAAAGCAAGTTCATAATTTTATAATTAGGAGTGAATATAACCATAACGTCTTTGTTGGTAGTGCCCTCGTTGACATGTATTGCAAGTGTAGAAGCATACGATATGCAGAAGCAGTGTTCAAGAGAATGACAAATAAGAATGTTGTGTCATGGACTGCTATGTTAGTGGGTTATGGTCAGAATGGGTTCAGCGAAGAAGCTGTTAGGGTTTTTTGTGACATGCAAAGAAATGGGATTGAGCCAGATGATTTTACTCTAGGAAGTGTTATTAGCTCATGTGCAAATCTAGCTAGCTTAGAAGAAGGCGCCCAGTTTCATTGTCAATCCCTAGTTTCTGGCTTGATTTCTTTTATAACAGTGTCCAATGCGCTCATTACTTTGTATGGTAAATGTGGAAGTATAGAAGATTCTAATCAGCTGTTCAATGAAATGAACTTCAGGGATGAAGTCTCTTGGACTGCATTGGTTTCAGGATACGCACAATTTGGAAAAGCCCATGAAACAATTGATTTATTTGAAAGAATGCTTGTCCGAGGTTTAAAACCTGATGCTGTTACATTCATTGCAGTCCTTTCAGCTTGCAGTAGAGCGGGGTTGGTGGAGAGAGGACAACAGTATTTTGAATCAATGCTGAAGAACCATGGGATAATTCCTTTTTCTGATCACTACACCTGCATGATTGACCTCTTTAGTCGAGCAGGGAGGTTAGAAGAAGCCAAAATTTTTGTCAATAAGATGCCTTTCAGTCCTGATGCAATAGGTTGGGCAACTTTGCTTAGTTCTTGCAGACTTTATGGCAATGAGGAAATTGGTAAATGGGCAGCTGAGTCTCTTCTAGAACTAGAGCCCCATAACCCTGCTGGCTATATCTTGCTCTCCAGCATCTATGCTGCTAAAGGAAAATGGAGCGATGTGGCCCAACTAAGGAGAGGAATGAGAGAAAAGGGAGCGAGAAAGGAACCGGGATTCAGTTGGATCAAGTATAAAAGCAAAGTTTATATTTTCTCTGCAGATGACCAGTCAAGTCCCTTTTCTGATCAGATACATGCTGAGCTGGAGAAATTAAACCAGAAGATGATAGAAGAGGGGTATGTGCCAGATGCAAGTTCAGTTCTTCATGATGTTGAGAATTCAGAGAAGATAAAGATGCTTAACCACCATAGTGAGAAGCTTGCAATTGCTTTTGGGTTGTTATTTATTCCTCGTGGCCTTCCCATACGAGTAGTAAAAAATCTGAGGGTTTGTGGGGATTGCCATAATGCAACTAAATACATTTCCAAGATTACTCAGAGAGAGATACTTGTAAGAGATGCTGTCAGGTTCCATTCATTTAAAGATGGAACATGTTCATGTGGAGATTTCTGGTGATATACTTTTGTCATAGTTCAAAGCTGTGTGAACAAGATTAAAATCCAGTATGTACTGGAGATTAACCAAGATCAAGAGACGGTGATGATGCCTGCTCTGCAGGAGTATCTCTAGAGCTCTTGAGGAATTAATTTCTCAATCAAGGATTCTAGAAGAATGTCTTTATAATCTTGCAAGAGGATAGTAAAAAAAGCTGGTATGTCTAAACTCAAGCTAAATTTTTCCATATCTTATTCAGTTCCATTTACTATGGCATGGATGTTATTCTCATGCATGGACTCTCATGTTATCTTTGTCCCATGTCCTTCTTCTATGCATCATAAGTTCTATGACATGCACACACACACACACACACACACCAAAATCGAGCAGAAGTGTATAACACAAAACTCTTAGGGGGATTCAGAAAGTATTGTCAGCTCCAAGCTACTGGTGATAGTTCTATGTATCATCTATTTTAACAAGTTGACGGCATAACTGTTACATTGATCAAACCGGAGAAGCTGACAATTACCCTATAGCTGTCAATCTTTCTTAAGACGCTTAATAATAAACTTGCACCTCTATTAATTTGATTCAATCAATAAATAGATACTTTTGAGTTGAGAGCAGATCCTGAACTGTGTTATTAGCAGGTTTGCAGAACTCAATTTGAAAATTTGTCAAGACATGCCATACAAAGTAACAACCAACATCTGTGACAAAAGAAATTTCTAGGGTGGTATATATGCTTGCTGCTTCACGGAGTCTCCCTGGCTCACATGCTGAAAACAGCTAATTACCTTTCGGAAATGAAATCAAAAAGAAAAAGAGTACTTTCCATTTTGGAATCACAAGGAATAGAAATACACAAAAAGGTGAATCTGAAGAACACAAGGATGATGAGGACAGGCTTCATTCATATTGCTGTGGTGTTTTGAGGGGCTTCTCTTGACTTTGTTACTGGCTCTGCATCAGGTTGAAGACATGGTGGTTAAAGTTAAAAAAAAAATAAAAAAATAAAAAATGGCATGCTGGATGGCAACCTCTGTATGGGATTAGAGGAGCTAAGAAGAATTACCTGCAACTTGCTACATATGTCAATTACTTCAGCTACAGGAGCCCAATCACCAAAGTTCCTCTCAATAAACTGATAAGCTATGCCACTCTTTTCCCTGCCAACTATAAAGAGTCCACCCTTTATTTCACCTTCTCCTTTGAAGTTTTGCTCAATTTCCATAGCTTTTGCACGCTTGTAATTTGCAATAGCTCGTGGGTTGAAAACAAATCCTGATATAAATTTGTCCTTAAGCAGGTGCCCACCACCAAGAGCTTTGAAGAACTCCATATTCCTATCAAAGAGCACAACACCACCCCAATATCGAGGCCAGAAGTCTTTAACCTGCAGACCAAAAATAGCACATCAATTGTCAGAGAGAGAGTTGATTAGATCGTGAAGCTGAAAGTTCTCTGGATACCTCTGACTCTATATGTTCATGGAGAACTGCAACTAGTCGAATTCCCAGTGCATCAAATATGGGTTTTTTGGCATAAAGTTGGTGAGCTTCAGCCCTGCACATGATGCACCTGTTTTGAAATTCACAAGTAAAAGAAATGTCAATTTCATCGCTTATAGGAAAGCTGACAATGCTTGAAGGTTGATTTATCCATGTTATTGGGTAGCTGTAAGACATTCAAGTCTAAATATTTTTCTACACCTATAGAACACGGTTTTGATTTCTTAAGGTTACCATGTATTGTCCTCCCATTTTATTGTTTTATGTGTGATTACTCTAATAGGCTCTTACAGTTTGCAAATATATGTTTTATCACACAAGTCTAGTTGATAAAGCAAGGCTATCTACACAAGAAGGCTACATGGATGCAGAATACAGGTGTTTACCCAGGTCGCCTAATGCAAAGGATTACAGCTGGTTTATCTCGCCATAATTCTGAAGCCTTCATTGGAGGTGTCTTGGTTTTCACCAAACGCTCCATTCCAATCTTATACTCTGGTGTTAGTTTCTGAACTGAGATGTTTTCAACAACAGAATAAGGGGCAACACTGTCAACTACTGGAGGAGGTTGTACACAGCCACATGCTCTGGGCTCAGCTGGCCCTGCGGCTACAATCCCTTTAAAGATGTATCCATCTTTAATCTTAAAATCAGCGAGTGATTGCTCAAGTGGTTTATCATAATTCATACTACTACTGGTTTGCATCTTTTTAGAGCTGACAGATGCATAACTCTTGAACTTGCTATTGTTTAGGGAGACTCTGCTGTTCATTTTCCTTGCAGTGAGAGGAGCATATGATTTGAGCAAAGGATCTGCACATGCACTGGTTCTGTCCATGAAACGGGCTAGGTGGCCTCTCTTCATCCCAAACTGAGAGGAGAGATCCCCAGGGCTTAGGTTAAGAAGCTCAGGCAAACATTTCCCAGAGGCCTCTAGCTTATCCCCATACTGCAGCAGAGCATGATCATGCAGGTATGATCTGATTTCCAATGCATCCTAGAGTAAGAGAAAGAGAATGAGAAGTTGATAGTTTATCATTAGATGGATCAAAATTTCGACAACATGTTCCAGTAGTTGACAGTAAGAAGCCAATATTTGTTAAAATAACCTATTTTGATCAAATGATAAGTGAAAAGCAAATTCCAAGGGACCAACCTTTTGCTGCTGTGTCATGTTCATTGCATCCTTAGCCTCTGAATTCATAATCTTCAAAGTTGGTACATCATCCCAACCGTCTTCCAACAACATTGGAAGCAAGTGCTTCAAAACTCCGTTACCTACAAAATCCTCCACTGAGAAAGAAGCCATTTTCCTCTGCAGCAGGGGATGGTGTGATCTCTTGTTGCTGAAAGGGACCCCGGATGAACAAGCTGGTGGCGTTGTCCTAAGATATAAAATACACACCTTGAGTGTCTAATTGGACAATGTTAATATCAATACATGGATCGACATAAACCTTTTAACAAACTTACCTAGGTTGATGAAATAATATATAAAGTTTTCTAACAGTGCACAGATTGGTAACTTGATTGACCAAGTGTTTTGATATCAGCAATTGGAGTTATTTCCTCTTTTTGGTATAACATTGAAATCCATGCCCTTGTCCTTTACACAAACATCTGCAGTCAGGTGGTACATGTCATGAGAAAGTATATATGCCATATTAGAGAAAGAATGGAGGCTGAAGTACAAGAGGTAGAAACAATGTGAACACAAAGAACATTGCTTGGAGACCGTCAAAAGATTCCCAGAGAGATTGAGAGAAAGGAAAATGAAATGGCACAAGAAGAGCCCAAGAAGTGGACTGCAATAAAATATTGAAATCATAACAGAATTGACCCACAATGGAGGTGGATTTTCCTTTGCCGGCCAATACCTGCCTCATTTAATAAGTGAAATGTTGTGCCAATGTTGCCTTGGGTTTGGGAGTTATTGCTTTTTATCGTCTATATTGTCCCATGCTGTAGGATACTACGATGCCTTGTAAGTGACGTGAAATTTCTGTTGGATTTGTAAACGACTCCTACTTTCCCTACCTTTCATTTTTTATTTATTTATTTATCATTGCCTGCTGCCTGCAATACGAGTCCAAAGATAGAATTTCCTCCTGAAAAAAAAAAAAAAGAAAGAAAGAAAGAAAAATGCTGTTCAGTCCAAAAGGTATTGGCCATTGCTCTGTGCCACTTGTGAGCCCTACTTGTGCTTCACTGCCTTCTTTTGTAGAGCTAAATCCGATTCAATTGTACTGATGCTTCAACCATCCACTCATGTGGAATCTTGTTGACTTCAAAACATCCGGTTCAACTTGATGTTTTGATGTGTTGTTAGGGAAAATGCATTTCAAGACCAATAATGCCTTCGGATTTCTCCAAAAGCACTTGAGAAACCATCAAAATCTAGAACTATACCTCAAATGTTTTTGTCCATCTCATCTTTTCAACTCATACATATAAAAAAGGTAAAGCAAAAATTTAGCTATATATATTAATAATTTTTAGCATTTCCTGGTCAACACTGAGCAGTGCATAACTCACATAATAACACTCCAGTGCATGATATACATCTATCATGAAGAGATTACACTCAAAACCAGATCTTGTTTGCAATTGAAAGCAGCAGTGTATTACACTACGATTCTACATAGTGTAGTAGGACGTACGGAAATTAGGCATCTTATTCAACCGCCTCAAGATCTTCTCAGCCATCTGCCTTGTATCAATATCCCCATGGTGGAAAGCACTGACCAAAGTGGCAGGCAGCAACCTGTCCTGTGATATATCAGAAGCAGGCCTGTTCCCTCCTTTCACCAAGAATCTATCAATTAACCAGAAGGATTTTTGCCACAAACCCTCTCCCTTGTGTTCTTTAACAACATTCAGAACATGCTGTATGGTATTCACTTCACACAACATGGCAACACTCTTGTCGACATCGACTTTGTCATCTAACAAAGTACATATTGCTGACAATGCAGCTTCAACAACCTCAACATTCTCGTGGTCCAAACATGCCAGCAATCTCTCCACTGCTTTTGCATCAACTAAACAGAACGTGTTTTGCGAGGAACAAGCCCCTCTATGTACCAGGCAGACTGGCAGTTTTCTCTTCTTTGATGAACTGGAAGATGGGAATTTTGGTAGGTAGAAGAGTTTCAAGAACTTGGTTTTCTTTATATCTGGTGGTTTTGATAAATTTATGGATTCCAACGAGAGCTTCTCCAAGCCAATTGCTGATAACCTCTGAACTTCGTCGCTTGATGTTTTCATGAGCAGTTCTGTAAATACTGAGGTGAAGCTGTAGTTTCTTGCAAGAAACAGAATTTGAGGTTCGTAAAGAGTGGTTGTGAATCTGACTAGAATGCCAACTAGTCCTTCCAAGTAAGGACTTGCATACCTGCTTGTTCTTATACCAGTTCTTTGGATTTGATTGATTTGTTGCAGGACTGTAGGGACTGTATTCTTGCTTAGAAGAGCAAGATTTAGTGTCAGGTTCTGGTGGGGGAGTTTAGCAAGAAATATTGCTGAAACTGCCTCCTTCTGTGTGATTCGGGTTGTTTCATTTCGGCCAAGGATTAAGTTCTCAGGTTGACCTGCAGTTTTGCATAGTCTCTCTACTATACTGTGTCCCATGTAAGGTATGAGTGCGATGAGTAGCTTGATTGCTGCGATCCCAACTTCTTCATGGGGGTTATTGAGGAGTTCAACCAGGGTATAGCTTGCTTCACTCTCTTTGACCATAGCGACAATGGTGCTCATTGATTTGGGAGACTTAGCCAGGCACAAAAGAACTCTAATGAGGTTGATGTTGAGTTCATCGGGAGTTGAAAGCTTGATCATGTCAACTATGTTATACAGAACATAGCCTGAATCTAACCTGTGGCCGTGAGAATTTACTTGGAGGTTCTCAAGGTCAAGCCCTGCCTCAAAGATATTTGAAAGTATTGCAGCAGCTTCAATTTTTGAGTTTATTGGTTCACCATAGATTCTTCGATTGAAAATCTCTTCAACCATAATCTGAACTATTCCAGATTTTGCAAGTATTTTGGCATTAGGATGGTAGGATGCAATTTGTGCTAGAGCTTTAAATGCTGCTGTTCTGGTCAGAGTGTTTCCACTATGCACCATTTTGATGAGAGGAGGCGAAGCCTTTTCAGCCACATAAGTTTTGCTGTCATTTCCAAGTGCAAATTCCCCAAGGTATTCTGCCATTTCTGTCTGCATCTCCTCGGAACCTGTTTATTTTGAATCTCCATTAATACTGTTGAGGCCTATTTATTTGTACACGAGGAAATTCTTTTTTGTCATTTAAGATGTTCAGGAAAACCAGTTGTCTTGAACTGATTGCACACTATGAGAGTGATTAGTTTTTACCGTGTTAATTTCAACCAAAAATAAATAAATAAATAAAATTACAATTGCCATTCAACATACTTGCTAATGCATAAGTTTTTTGACAAAACAGTTGGCTATGCTTTTTGTAGAGCTTGAGAAGTTTCAGAAGTTACCTTCAGTGAGATGCTTTAGAAGGGGTTCCAAGAGTCCATTTTCTGCCATCTGCTTGATATTTTCTGGAGACCCCTCTAGATTCTTTAAGATTTCATCTGCTTTTTCTGAAGAGAAAGCATCGACGGACTGATTGTATTTAATCCTGATCAGCATCAGAATTCCTCCAGGAACTGACCCAATTTTCTCCCACAATGATTCAGAACTTGATAGCTCAAGTAGCAGTAGTAATGATGCATGCCTTACAGGCTGGTGACCGCTTGACATTGTCTTGATTACTGTTGAAATGTCCACCATTTCAGAAATCATTATCTGCACAAAAAATCACCAATGTTGAGTTATAATTCCTGGAAATTGTATTCGTGGATTTCAATGGCTTACTTTCTTGATAAAAGTGTATCCTCTCATACTTAAAGGGTTCATATGCAGACCGTAGAGGAATTGTTGAGGCATTTTCAAACAGACGCCTGTTACGTATAACAGAAGTTTCAGCTATGCTTTGGTCAATTATGGTGGTCTAATAGCCAAATAATTGCAGGTAAGGTTCCATGGAGGCAAATGCACCGATTCACATTAAAACCTCCCCCAAGAAGGTGATATAAACCTCCTGCAAAATAAGGTGAAGAATACGGGTGTCTTGTTGAAAACTGAACAGTTTTTGAACCTGACGATAATGGCAGGCATTGGTGTAAGCAATTGAGAGTAAATCTTCTCTCCGTATTGCCTATTTTCATAACTTTGAGAACAGAAACTTACTTGTGACTTCGAATTTGCTCTGGATGACGTTGTAAAATCATGACACATGCACACAAACACACATGTACTCTACCTTTTCTTTTACTTATGATATGCTGTAAACGTTTTAGGAAAAAAGAACTGAACCTTGGAATCGTCATCCTCTTTTGTCAATTCTCGTAATAACTCCAGTGCTGCATGTCTAACATCTCTATCTTTGTACTCCAGAAGCTTAAAAAGCAATGGAAGTATTCCAGCATTGTGAACTTGTATCTTATTATGTTGTTTCCTTTTGCAGATGTCTTGCAAATCCCTTATTGCTTCAAGCACCATCCCCGGTGAAGCAGACAAAACTAAAGCTGAACGCGAAAATTTTATCCTTGCTACCTCATTTCTTTCTTTCCATTCTTCTATTGTAGCCTTCAGAGCTGCGTTGGTTCTTAGAACTCTGCTCAGCAACTTCTGCCCTGTGGTTGGGCAGAAAATTTCCTGTGAGTTCTTGAACTCTTCCAAATACTCAGTAATTGCTTTCCTATCATATGTCACTCCACTTTGTATGGTCACTGGATCATCCATGATCTGCTTCGTTAATGGACAGTAGAAAGTTTGATACAAAGGCTCTATATGGTCAGCCATATTTGACAATGATGTAGATGAGCTGCCGCTGCTGCTATTGTGTTTCATTGGCCTGCTGAAACTTGTGGTTTTCAGGAATTCTACAAAGTATGGAGTGTTTAAGACCCGAGAGTTATCTGTGGACACTTCAACACTGGCAGGGTAGAGATCTGACTCTACTGTTACAGGTCCTTCATTTTGTTCCTCCTCTGAGAAAAGCTTGTGTGGATCCAGGTCTTTGGTCCGCAACACTTGGCTTTTGCCAACTTCAAAGTGAGCACTCAACATTTCATTTGAAAGAGCTTGGACAGCAACTTCTGCATATTCTTGGTCCTGAAATGTTGATGAAGGTATCGAGCTCAGGCATTCGCCCATGTCTTTTATCACCCATTCTAGTTGTGATATGGTGCTTTTCAGTTCAGAGTCAGAATTTGAGTTGGTGCATCTTTGGCATTTGTTTACAAGATCCTTGGCTTCAGTGATGCTTCTGGATAGAGATTGAAGGATTTCCATTGCATTTTTTGGTGCGTGCTCAGTTGTCTGCAACTCTATTATGACTGGGAAAACTCGGTAAAGGTAGCATCCAATTTCAGCGAAGTTTTCCTTTTCTAGTTCTATGCATGTTACAGATTCAACGATCTCTGAAATTGATGTAAGCAAGGATTCAGCAATACTAGCAATAGCAGTTATATCTTTGCTGAGCTGGAGAAACAAAACAAAAAAAAAAAAAGCGAAGATTAGCATGCATCTTAGGTAACATGTTATTCTAAAGTTTGGTTATTGGCATAAAACTTAATCTTGGGAACTCAATTCAGGATATTGTCAATTTATAGATTCCATTTGAACAGGACAATGAATTTAGGAGAGAATATTCCTAACCTGGTAATAGTTTAATAACTTACCCAAAATCGGGAGAGGAAAAAAAAAAAAAAAAAACAAAATCACTTCTATGCCATAGTATGCTCATTTTGAGAAAACATGCAAATGAAGGTAGGATCCTTCTTTTCAATGAAAGAGAATTGGACATGCATTTTCCTGCTGCTTTACTTACATTTTAATTCCTTAAAATCTGAAGTTTCTCATGTGATTATGTTGTCTACGGTTCTAGATTTGCTGCACAAATTGTGCTTATGAAACAAACATAATTGCAGAAGTTTATGGTCAACAGATTGATGTGCCTGTAAAAAAAAAAATAATAGAAAAGAAAAGGTGAATTGGTAGCTGACTAGTGTTGTTTGACGCGAAGACGACAAAAGAATTTGGCAGGTTACTCCCTCTTCTGTTTGAAAATGGAATTTATGAAGTTAAAAATATCTTGAACTCTTACCACCTAATTCAAATCCTGCAAACTAGATGAAACACAGTAGTGTATGCACATGGAAGGTGATTTAAAGCCCAATTCAATTCTAACTTTCGAGGCTTACTCAAAACGTTAATTTTCTAGATAGAAGCGAGATGGCAACGACAAAAACATACCGACATCCAACCAGAGCCACTACTTCTGATGCCTTCCGAGTATGTGGACTCGATCAGTCTCTACAAAACCTGGAGAACTGGCAAATCCCAAATCCCATAAGAATATATTTTATCATTGAAAAAGTCTCTGAGAGCTTATTTATGAAATTACTAATCTTACCTGTAAGTTATTTTCGTTCTCAGAATGCTATAATTTGTTGGCGAACTCTAACCGCTTAAATCTAATTAATACTAAGCATTTTTGAGTGTGACAATATCTTTTTTTATATTGTTGCTCGCAATATAAAGCTTGTCAAAGGAAGCTATAAGGCATAGAAAAAGAAGACTCGGTCAGCTTGCTATAATGTGTTAACGTTGACTGTTGACAATTTGCATGTAGTTTGGTTTAGGGTTACTGTCTGCCTTCGTAATGATATGTCAACTTCAAGATGCAAGCTTGAAGAATCAGTATTTGTTAGAACATTAAGTAGAAGCAAAAGGTCATTGAAGTTGGAGATATATCTGCTTTTAATCTCCCAACTTTATTGATCTAATCGAACTGGCACTAATCTTATGTTTAGAGGAGGAATGGCCTAAAAAGAATTGCTACACGGGATTAAACTACTGCTGTGACTTTCAGTACCTTGTAAAAATTGTTAAAGAGATTTTGGTGGTTACTGGTTAGATTGTTCAACCTACTTGGTTGTATTTTATGAACCACGTTAAATCAACATGATGATTCAGATTAATTTACTTTGACCCTTTTTTTCTTTTTTCTCTTTTTTCCAGTGCTTGTAATTGGGTTAGAGGCATGCACGGCAGTAGACGGAAGAGCCACTTAGGATGTGGACGGTATGATAAATATGGGAGTCTATGAACAGAAGGGAAAGTGCTTATGCTGGTAAGTTGATTCAACTGAAACTTATTACAGCCAATTCCAAGCCTGTAAAGCATGACTTGGGCTCTTTTTGGTTTTGCTATAACTATGAGCTTAGTTTAATTAAATCATGGAAGCTTACCATATGAAAGCCTTGAGGAAGTTCGATGAAAGCCCATGTAATAAAATGTGAATGGGATTATTATTATATTGTTGATACACTGAAGTTTTTATTTCTCTCAATCAAGTAAAACGTACATGCTTTTAATTCTTTTCGTTTTAGTGCACTAATTTTTAAAAAATTATCATGTTGATTTTAAAAAATCTGATGATATCATGTTGATTTTAACTAACTAACTTCAAATTTGTGAAAAAATTAATTTCAAAAATAATATTGTATTTAATAAATAAAAATATCTTAAAAGCATTTTGGAAGGAGCGTTTTTCTACATATATATATTAAAAAAAAAAGCCTCAAAATTTGAAGTTAAGTGACAAAGTTAAATGCCACGTTATTAAGAAAATGAAAAAAAAAACAATGAAATTTAAATGCGAAGTTCTTAATTGATAATTTTGAAAAAATCGGTTTACAGACAAAAAGTCATTAAAAACTATGTGTTTGACGAAAAAAAGAAGAGTGAAAAGTTGATTTACTAAGGGTATAATTATTCCAAATTTGAAATCCTTCAATAATTAGTAGTATAATTATTCAAAATTTGAAATCCTTCAATAATAGCACAAAGTTTTGAGTGTGACTGGTCGCAGCCAAGCATGCACTGTTAATTAAGATAAGCCTGCCTGATTGAATCTACAAGGAGCCATGACAAAAAAGATATTGTTATATCCATCATATTTTTTTTATTATTTTTATTAATTTTTTATTTTAAATTATTAATAAATTTTTATATTTAATTACTACCTAGTCATCAACTTTATGTATGATGATATGTTGATAATTTATAATAAAAATAATAAAATATCTTATAGAGTTAAAAATACCTCAGCAAAAAAAACCAAGCAAGTATTTTGACTTCTGCAAAAACTTCGCCGTTTTATGCAGAGTGTATCTACCATATATCATGACACGTAGAGGAACATTATGTAAGGGGGGAAAAAAGAAAAAGAATAGAAGTATTTCTTTCTTTAGATCCTAAACCAAGTACAGGACAAACAACTTTGTCCTTTTAGAGACCCAAAAGCTAGTTTTTTGCAACCGTACGGGTGTTGATAAGAATGCTAGCAATGCATTGATGATTGATCAATATAATAGCCAGGCCAGCCCTGAGTGCTTTATAAAAAAATACCTTGTAAATTTGCGATTCATGCTCTCCACAAAATACTACACATGCATGAAGCAACCATGAAGTTCAGCAAGAAAAGGATCAAGAAATCACTGCCCATCAACCATGAATCACCTTTACTAGTACCTCAAAGAGAAGAGAAGAAAGAAGTGCATGACTTCAATGGAGGTTCATTAACTGGTGCGGTGTTTAATCTTTCAACAACTATTATTGGTGCTGGGATCATGGCATTGCCTGCAACCATGAAGGTGCTTGGACTTGGCCTTGGGATTGGTTTGATAGTGTTTGTTGCTGTACTCACTGACTGTTCTATTGAGATGCTTTTACGGTGTAGTAAAGCTGGAAAGGTGGAGTCTTTTGGTGGGGTCATGGGCGATACATTTGGGAATGTTGGGAGAAGGGTGCTTCAGATTTTTGTGATGCTTAACAATGTTGGGGTCCTCATTGTTTACATGATTATCATTGGTAAGGGTGAATAATGCATATTAAATTTGATAATTTGGTTTGTAGATTATGAATTTTGCATTTTAATTTGTGGGTTTGAGACAATTCTGTAAATTGACTGCTGCACTTTGATTTAGTCTTTATGGTTAAGAACAGAGATATCTCAGATTGAAGTGGCTGTTATTTACTGATATCGATGAGTGTATCCGAAGTTTGTACGGCACATCAAGGCGTACGAAATTCATCAGCTAATTTTGGTTTTGAATTTCTTTTGTTTTGAGACTACCATGTGAGCTTGGTGCTGCAGTCCTATCAAGTCGTTTTGGCCAAGAGCAGAGGAGTCAGTAGGGCAGTGATTAATCTCTAGGGTTACTAATTATTACTAATGATTGGGGATTCATTTTTGTGATGTCAGCTATATATTAGGCCATCAAACTCCTAATTTTGGAGATGCTAAATGGAATAAGATCATAAATAACATGTCCTATTAAAGTTCTTTTCTGTTCTAAAACCCCCAAAATTACAAACATAAAAGCTGGAAGCTCCTAGCAATAGTGAAGCAGCATTGCAGGAGACAGCATGTGATGGCCACTGTAAAATTGCAATACATACTTGCCGAGCCAAAATTTCAGTAGGAGATGTTACTAGAAAGTCTGATTTCCGTAGTAGAAAATTCTTATAGTTGTCGAAGGATTTTTTTTTTTTTTTTTTTTGTTTTTGCTTATTTTCTTTCCAACTATTAGACAAGTTCAAATATTCTTACATGTTTCAATTTTTTTACATAACAAGCTGATGTGTTGTCTGGAACATCTTCAAGTGGAGTTCATCATGCTGGTGTATTGGAAGAATGGTTCGGAAACCAATGGTGGAATGGGCGTACCTTTCTTCTTCTTTTCGTTACCATTTTCATATTTTCTCCACTGGCATGCTTCAAGCATATAGGTCAGTATCAAACGATGTTTTCTTTCCTTTCCTTTTTTCGTTTTCTTTTTTTTTTTTTTTCTGTATCAATTGCTTGATTAATGAACAATTTACATCACAGACCTTTATTTGTGAAGAGCTGAGGGATTACTTTCTAATGTATGCAGATTCGTTGAGATACACATCTGCCCTAGCAGTTGCACTAGCAGTGGTTTTTCTCGTTATTACTGCAGGAATCACTGTGGTCAAATTGGTCAGTGGAACTGTTAACATGCCTAGGTTGCTTCCTAATATTAGTGATATTACTTCATTCTGGAGCATCTTCACTGTGGTTCCCATTCTTGTTACGGCATTTATCTGTCATTTCAATGGTGAGTATGCTTATCTTTATATCCTCTGAATTGCTTGGTCTGTGGGTTTGATTTGCGCACATTAGCAACATCTGTTTGGCAGATATGTAGATGTATTTTCTTTACTGGTTCTTTCAATTACAACAAAGTATGCCAATTGCCTCTGGGGATGGGGAGTGACAAGGCTTATCTAGGCACTTCTTTCTATTCTCCAAGGCCAGGTACTTGACAAGTAGCTTTTAAGGGATTGACATTTTGCTTCCTATTGCTCATGGGGTACAGAAACTTCTACCCTTTTGCTAGTATGATACTTGATAGATGGAAATTTATGTCCTGCCAGTAGTAGTAGATGGAGAATGTTTAGCCTCTTGCTCGTAGTTATATTGGTGCCAGAACAACCATGCTCAGAGAATTGGAATTACTATGATTGCAAGAGGAGAAGTTTTTGTCTTGATTTCTGACATTAGTGGATTGGAACATAGATTCAAATAACAGTTGTTATATTATATAATGACCGTTATATAACAGTTTCAGGACACCTCATTACCATTATTCAGCGTTATAGGAGTCCGTTGTCATTTCACGTGAATAATGGCATTACCATTATGTAATGCTATTAGTTGCTGTTGTATAACTGGGTTATACTAAAAAAGAAAAGAAAAAACCAAAATTTCAACCTTTGCACTTTGCGGCCTACTCCTGAGATGTTATTAGTATGCTTAATTGGTAAAATTGTTACAAATATGTGAATTAGAATAAATTTATTAACTACTCTAATGTATTCATGATATCGGTTGTCACGACCGTTATTTTATTATCGTGATAGGCCGTGACCTGCAATCGTGATCGCGACCTTTTTTTCAATTACGTCCGTGATTTAAAACTATGGATGGGAAGGGTTAGGCCCTAGCCAATTCTATCTTGTATTTGGTAGCATCTGTGATTTATTAGAATATGGTTACTGATACTGGATTGGAGTAAGGTCTTGGATTGGTATTTCCTTCTCTTTCTGCAGCTAGGAGAGAAGCTGACTTAAATGACTGTCATAATTTTGACTCGAGTTAAGCTTTATGTAGTTTACTTGCTTTCCAATAAATGAATTATTTTATGAAAAACCTCAATAAGAAATTACATCTTCTGCAGTTCATACTATTCAAAACGAGCTCGAAGACCCCTCTATGATACATCCAGTTGTGCAGACTTCGTTAGCTCTATGCTCAGCTGTGTATATAATGACAAGCTTCTTCGGCTTCCTCCTATTTGGTGACTCAATTCTTGATGATGTGTTGGCCAACTTTGACACTGAACTTGGCATACCTTACAGCTCTTTGCTCAATGATATCATTCGCATTAGCTATGCTTTGCATCTCATGCTTGTTTTCCCCGTGATCTTCCATCCGCTGCGCCTAAATCTGGATGGTCTTCTCTTTCCTTCAGCCACACCATTGGTTTCAGATAACCGTAGGTTTTCATTGATCAGCACAGCACTCATTTCTCTCATCTTCTTGGGTGCAAATCTTATACCCAACATCTGGGTTGCTTTCCAGTTCACTGGAGCAACTTCTGCAGTTTGCCTAGGATTTATCTTTCCAGCTGCCATTTCCTTAAGGTCAGTAAACTCTCTAGCTTGAAGTGGTAATTATGCAGTTACTGATATATAGTTCAGATCAAAAGAGGAATACATTTCACATTTTAGTGCTTAAAAATATCTGAGACGGAGGCCTATAAACCTCTAAGATAGGATTCTGGTGCATTAATACTTTCATTCATTTTTCTCTAACCATGGAAACCCATTATCTTGGTTGGTGGATCCGATTCTATGTTGCCTACCATATATCCCAAATCCGTATCCATTTTGAAGTTTCACTGCACTTTGATTGCATTAAAAAATGAAAGCTGATATTACTTCCAATTTTCTAGGTGATATATCTAATATCTTGTTCATTTGTTTATTCACACTAATTCTCTTTCAGGGATCCCCACGTAGTAGCAACAAAGAAGGATAAGGTCATGTCTGTCTTCATGATTTTCCTTGCTGTATTCTCAAATTTGGTGGCCATATATAGTGATGCTCGTGCTCTATTCAGAAGAAACTCTTAGAGAATAATATAAAACTATTTTCAGAGCTTCAATCGAACAGTTTAAGTTTTTGGATTAAAATGGTTTTTTGATATAATATCATATTTTTAATAACCAATCGATCACGAATTCGAATCTCATCATTCCTATTTTCTCTTCTAATTAAGTGATGAAAAACAAAATAGTGGTGACCTGAGCAATAATATAAAAAATCATTCTTAGAGAACATGGTCTTCTCATCATTTGCTTTGGTGTACACATAGATTAGAGTACAATACTGTCATCCATGTTGAGTCGTGTTCAGCATCTTTTCGAATCGGTGTCTTCTTTCCTGGATGGGAGCATATTCAACTTCATCCTGGTGGAGATTTAGGAATATTTGCAGCCTCTTTAATGTCATTGCAATTTTTGTTCTCACCATCTCATATATTATGCTTTTAAGGTCGAAGAAGCTGATGGCAGTTCGGACAACGTACTTCTGGTAGTTGCTAAACTACATCTGGAACCTTCAAGCTTGAACGAGTTAATTAAAAAGATAGTAGATTGGTCTTGGACTTGTAGTGATCGTAATATATTTTGCGGCATTTTGATCCAACCATTAAGAATAGAAGTATTTGACAAAGATCCTACTCTTTAAAAATAAGAATAAAATAAGCAGGTAATTTTCTCTCATAAAAAACAGATAGAAAGATTTGTTTTTATTTTTCATATACAAAAAGAATGCATTATTTTTTAAGCAGTACAAAGCCAAACACGCAGAAGAGACCCAAACCTTAGTCTTTTCGATCAGCAAAAGCAATTTTTTTATTCTTCATCATTTCCAAATCAAATTTCTGAAGCAATAACAACAAAAACGAAAGAATAATAGCAAACTAACTGTTACAGAGAGTAAGTGCATTTTGAGGTCTTGGTAAAAAATATATATATATATCAACCTATATTATTTTGCCATATAAATTAGACTAACTTGCTTTAACTCGTAGCAAATAACAAAACAATAGCCAGTTTATGAATCAAATTATAGATCCTATGGTACAAAAGTGGCAAAATACCACGAAGGAGACATGCTCATCATCCACTCGGTAGCTTTTCCTCTAATGTGTGTACTTTCAGAGATCTATGGTAAATATCCTGCAGTCAGCATCTCTGCAGATATGGAATCACAGTATGGCAACTGGCTTTCATCCATCCTCAATCTGATTAAATAACTTCATCAACATAATAATCCATTCCCACACGAAGCTTCAATTCCATTTGCACCGAGCCAACTAACGACATAGCAGCTTGCTTAATAACGAGTGTCGATCCTTCAAGTCATTGCATGTCACATCATGTTATTTCTAAATCTTTTCACAAAGCAGACCAAGAAGATGCCATATTTTAGGCATCCAGCAGGAGTCAGAGATATCTCCTAGTCAGTTCTTGTGTTTGGATATGTACAAAGGTGCCCATTGGATACCCAATTGGGAGTAGCCATGCCTCGATGACCTATTCTTCTCAAGCTTTTCTGCTCAATGTGGTTTAAGGTTCTCTTCACGAACCAAACCCAGAGCAAGTACAACTTGCATCACCTTGGGACCAAATGTCAGAGGCACAGAGTACAATTTAAGAAGGAAACTCACAAGGTTAGTTTCCGGTTCAGACTAGTTAAAGAAATAGGTTGACTGCAGGACATCTCTTAGATCAAAGTCTCCTCGCTCAGGTAAGGGAGGAAATTTCAAGTTGGGGAATGAATTTTGGAAGTTTTCCAACAACTGCAAGCACAAAAACAAACCAATATATCTGGCAGTTAATACCATCGCTCGACATGTAAGATTCTCAGTTTGAAGTTATTGAAAAGCACTGTTAAGATCACAAATTACCAAATGGAATCAACAATGCATAACAGTTTGCTGTAAAGACTAAAGAGGATATATTTCTAGGTATGCCCTTTTTCCCTCCCATTTTATTGCTTACCCTAGGAATAGAATTCTCAAGCTTCAGAAAACTATTCCATTAAAGCACACAAAAGAAGCAACGGCTGGTTCAAATTGTAATGTGCTTCAGTTCATGGTAGAAAGCTAATTGAAGTAAACAATTGAAAGGTCTGCACTCTCCCAAGGAAATGACTTCCATTGTGCCAGATGTGGGCTGGTGGTTTATAGATAAAGATCTAAATAGAATTGTTTATAGAACAATTTACCAGCTTTGGATCATGGCCATCAACTTCTCTTTTATATGTCAGTCATTTCTTAAAAAAGCAAACAGTGGCAGTATGAACTAGCAAAGCACAACCAAGAAAACAATTCCTGTCTAGGAGCAGTCTGCATATATAAGGTTTGATGAGCATATGGTTAAAGATACTTTACATTCTCCAGTATTGGTGCCTCGTAGAGTTCAACAAACTTTTCTCTGAGTATCCTGTTCATTTCATCAACGTTGCATGCATGTGTCCAGTATGAATCGTGGACCCCTGTAGGTGGACATCAAAATGAAACGATAAGATTTCCAGAAAAAAATTACCAGGTGTCAAAAGGAGGAAGAGAGAAATACTAGGCCAGCACAAACCTGCAAAGTTCAAACCTGCCTCTTTGCAGGCAGCAGCCGTCATCATCATGTGAGAACCATCAAGGGAGTGGACAAAATTTGGAGGAAAAGCTGTTCTTTGCCGCTTAACCATGACCTATAACAATCACGAAGTTGTGGGATCATTAACTGAGTACAACATCGAGCTGTTCTTTGCCCCTAACCCACGGATTTTCCATCTCTCGGATTTTCCATCTCTTGTTTTTTTTTTTTTTTTTAAAGGATTAAGGTCAAAGAAAGACATGTACACAGACAGAGGGGGAAAGAAGCTTAAAGTATCTGGTGCAGTAGCCAAAGATATGATCCAAAGTTTTTTAAAACCTATTAGAAAAGAAACAAGAAGAAAAAGATCCACTAAACTACCTTTTCAGTTTCTCTTTGTAATGTCAGCACCTGAAGGGAAGTCCTAATCTACATACAAATCAAGAAAACATATTAGTCGCCTTTCAAAATAAATATTGGTTTTCTACATTCATTATACAATAGAAGACTATATATAAATCGGCCAAGGCCAATTTTATTAATAATATTAATTTCTGAGATCATTACAAGATGCCTTCCCAATTGTCGATAAGGCTGTACAACAGGAAGTCCGAGAGGAGTGGTCCACTGCACAGGCTGATTCTCTGAAGCTATCACCTGTTTATATTCCAATTCAACAGTCAGAAACTCCAGAACACAGCTAAACATTCTCAAGCAATACAAATTGTTGACCAGCACGAAATGCTATATTTAACCAAAAACTCTTAAGTTTCTGAAAATGTACTAAGCTTGAATGCTAACAAAACAGCATGTATATTACATAGAACATTATCCATTGGGCAAGTAACAAAGTTATAAAACACCATTCCTCTATTCTCTTCCGTTTACATTTATTGTTGAAAAGATTAGAGCCTTCTATCAACTCAATCTATCCCACCCTTTAACCATTGGAAACAAGGTCCACAAGAAACAATTCAACTACCTTACAAATATGATCTGAAAATGGAAACGATCTGGCAAAGAAGAAGTCACATATGACACTTGGCACTAGATACTGAGTGCTAAAGGGAAACTACCAAATAAGAAGTAGAAAAAATGACTTGATAATAAGAAATGATTCAATCTCAAGCATGCCTTCGATAAGACAACCTAAGATATGGTGGGACTGAAAACAGGATTCAAGTGACCAACTTTAACAAGTCTGGAACTAAGGGCATAGATGAGTTGAATATGCTTATTCCCACATTGACCACATTAAGGCCAATATAGAGCTCTTTCACAACAGATGGATTATAGCAAGGACTTTCTACATCCTTAAAAGATGGTTAACGACGATATTTCAACTGTCTAACACATCAAAGCCCACTAATACTATAACTTAAGCAGAAATGGGTCCAAACCTTTTCCAAACCATTGAATAAAATCATCAGGCCAATATTTTTGGGGATATAAGAAAACATGGCATGCCCAAAAAAGAAGTGTCTCATCAGGATTCTCATTTGAGCAGTACCAATTGTGAGACCTATCAAATGACAGGACAAAAACTACACTGCGATGCAAAACAAAGGTTGCAGGATGAACGAAACACACCTTTGCACATTCTCCAAGCCAAGCCATAATCCCTCTTGCACCTTCAAACATCTCTTCTAAAGCCAACAAGGTGATCTGTTCACATGGTGAAATAATTAACACAATCCTCCTTTACAGGCATACACAAACACAAAACACTTACTTTTGCCCCATAGCAGGCTGCAGAATACAGCTGTGGATCATCTGCAATGTTACAACGCTCTTTTAACCTCCTTTTGATTTGGTCACGGGCACCAATATAAGTGACCCCATACACTGATGTCATCACTGTCTGCTTCACCAACTTCCGGTCCACCTGGCTTTCCAATTATGAAGGAAAGCAGTTAACAACATTATATAGGAAGTCATGTACAGGCATGCCCAAGAATGTTTGGCAACAAAATGAGTCACCTGAATCTAAAACCTAATTGTGTAGGTGTATAATGTTGAAATATAAAGAATCATTCATGATATTAACAATTCAAATGATGTTAACTGAATAATCTCATGCATATTTAACAATGATAAAAAAAATAAGAAAGGCAGAAACCTGATTGAGTAAAAGCTTAGCATAAACTGAATTCCGATCAATTGCAGGATCTTTTTCTGCATCTCTTTGCATGATATCAAGAACTCTACATAAAAAACAACGATTGAAGTAGACATTAGATGTTATAACAAAACAACACTAAGTAATTATATGGATTTTCAATGTAATAGTTGAACATGAGTTGTTGGCAATTGTTCCAGAAGCATTAGATATGATGAAAATGCAATAATTCCTACTATATTTTGAATTAATGTGACATTTAAAAATCATAGATACAGGTTCATGTCATAACCAGATTCGGGTATTCCAAAATTTATCATTTTTTTACCGTAATTTTTTTCAGAATAATCAGCCTGCTTACTCCCTGTGATATGTGTATATGTTAAAATCCAATTTTAGGAAAAAGGTTCACCTAATGCCCAACCATAGTAAAGGATCTTTTCAGTCAAATTGTAGTTGGCTGCCCCTAACCACCTTCAAACTACCCCAATTTCCACAGAGGTCCCGTGAGAGAGAGAGTGCGCTTACCTGGCTGCAATTCCTGTGTAAACATCTGCAGGTTTCTCTCCCCCAACTAGATTTACTGCAGCTGCTCCCAACTGATAAAAAGTTCAATTCAGTTTTATTGCTTAATATAAACTTAAGAGAAGTACAACAAATTCATACCATGCACTGCAACACATGAAATTTCCAATTCAAACAAAGCTTAGAAATCCTTAGCCATAAGTGTGCATTCAAAAACACTTAAATTGTGGCTCTAGTTTATGAAAATTGATTCCAAATTTAGGACTCAGAGACCTTCACCAAATTTCTTAAGTCAAATGTGAACAGAAATATTTTTACCTTGTCCCTTCCAAGGGCAGCATAGTGTTGCAAGCCATTGCACGAACCATCCTTGGAAAAGGGGGAAAAAAAAGTAGAAACATAAGAATAAATTCTCAAGCACAGTATGTCCCTGGACTGCACATTCAACATGAAAAGTGAACATGAAGAAAGCAAAAGTACTAAATAAAGCCTCTCAACTTCTTCAAAGACAAAACAACAAACAATAGACAATGAATAACTTTGAACCAACAAGTCTGCTCCAGAGTTCATCACAAGCAGGCTTCAACTTGGTTTTTTCACAGGACTCAAAGTTGTAACGACAAAGAGAATAAGTACCTGGTGCACAGGTGTATGTGAAATAGAGGTCTCTGGAGAAGGGCTTCTCAAAGCTTCTGATAGATTAATACATGCTGCCAAGCATTGAAAAGGATCCTCTGCACCCAACCACCACCGTTGTCCTTCAAGGGGTCGGTCAGCAGAATCAAAGATGTCGTCCAGATGATTCTCAGTAAATGATATTCGTCCGTCATAGGATAACTTGTCCACACCGCCAGCATACAGATTTGCTAAATGTATCTTCAGCCAGCGTAAACCAGACTTCCCAAGAGGTCGCCCCTCTGCAAACTCCAGGATTCCCCGGCACAAATCAGAGCCAAGATGATTCAAATACGGGTGCATGGGGTAAGCACGACCGCGAAAATCAAGGTTGTGTGGGTAATAGAAGCCTTCCTCATCCTTCATCTTTCTAGCTACCTGCTCCAAGTTATAACAATTTAACAAGCCATCTACAGAAACATGCAGACACTTGTATTTTCCGAAAAAGGGGAGCTTCTTACTGCAAGTTTTAGTTCAGCATCACAACGCTGTGAATGTCGCTCACTGTTCTCCTTTTTAATGCTTTTAACTTTCCACTTCCATTTCCGTATTTCAGCTTCATCTTCTGTTTGAGGCTCCTCAGGCAAAGGAACCTATTAAGTTTTTAAAAGTAAATACGAAGGATTTTTGAGGGAAAAAACGATTTGATAAAAAGGAGAGAAAGAGAAACAACCAGCACGGGCAATGTTAAATAGGACAGCTAATCAAGTGAGAATGGAGCAAAAGAACAGAACAAGTTTCTTTCGCTGTAAATGAAAATTTATCAAACAGAGGGAAAAATTCTGCTCATACAAATAACTCACATCTTCACGGTCAACCAAGCCAGCAAGACAGCCTCCACTAGCCCATATTCTATCAACTACAGCAAGAACCCTTTTATTTATTCTCCATTTGGTATTTCCAAGAGTATCCAGGGCCTGATTCACCAAAGGAAACATACAGAATGATTGCAACAAACAAATAAATAAAGAGAGAGGTGGGTGAAGTGCCAAGTCGGTCATAAGTCGTCAATGCATCAATTGTAGTGACATATTTATCAGTGGAAAATAGACAGACTCAACTTAAGCAGTGATTTCAAACCTTAAAAACAGGCTCTAATTGATTCCTTGAAGCCCTTTTAACTGTGTCACGTTGTTGTTTTGCTCCATGGATTCGCATAACATAGGATGGTAAAAATAAGTATGCACCTTGGTCATACCTGTCGAAATATTGCAAAAGTTAGAAGGAAGAAAAACCAGTACACAACTGACATTAATGTCTAGCTAGCTGCCGTAACGAAGATTTGATTTTGTAAAGCAATAAGATTGACTACACAATATTTGACCAAGAACAACTAAAATAAATCTTCTTTTTAATAATACTTCTTAAACGAAGGATATATCACTGCTTATAACCAGACTGTTCTATTAAACTAGATTTAATTAGAAACAAATAAATCAACCTCGTTTTAATAATAATTCTTAAATGGAGAATATATCACTGCTTAGAACCGGGCTGTTCTATTAAACAATATACTGCTTAGAACCAGGCTGTTCTATAAAACTAGATTTAACTATAAACTTTGTACAAGGATTGGTATAAACAAAAAGAAAAAAAGTATAGAGAATTGACACCCATACCCTGTCCAGTTTAAAGGAGGCACCAACATTGGCATATAAGGGATGACCATGTGCCTAGCCTGTTCGGATGACATGAATCAGTATCGTCCTAATACCTTAAGGAAGATATAATCTTTAAATATGTTCAAAATAAATATTGCCAGCGGCACAAAAGGGAAACAAGAGTTACTTACAGATTTCTCAAGGCCTTTGCGAACAAGTGGGTCACACTCAATAACACCATATCTCCTACTGCTTTTCCTATCCAGATGTAAACCAAAAATTTTTAGATGGTGATGTGTGTGTGTGTGTGTGTGTGTGTGTGTGTGTGTGTGTGTGTAGAGAGAGAGAGAGAGAGAGAGAGAGAGTCATTAATTAAACAGAGATTTCAATTCTCACTGTGTATCTTTTGTGATGGTTTTAAGGGTATGGACAAATGCAGGGCGAATATCAGGCGGACCATCTCCTATTTGATCAACCGGAGGTTGTATATAGGCAGTTTCTATCATTAATTGAATCAGACGAGAGCCAACCTGGGATACATAAGCATCAGAATAAATGCAGAGAAAAATGGCACTTCTATGTGGCTACATTTACTGCAAGACATATCACAAACCTTAACATGTGCTTCTTGACCCCAAGGCATTGAATCATCTTGATGCTTCACAATTTGCCTTACTTGCTGAACCTTCTGTTTTTTCATCAGTGTAGTTACTTTTTTCCTCAGTCTGTCATGATCCTTAGTTAGTTCTTCATCGATAGCAGCATCAGACTCAACTTCAGATACCTTGTCTTTCACATTTTTCCTCTTCTTTGTCTTCTCCAAAAACTTGTGTATCCTAGCCTGATTCAGTCATTACATTATGTTTCCAAACAAGCAGCTATTTGCTTTGCTAGGTGAACAAGAAGAAAATGCAATTTGCGCACTTCTAAATAAACCAAAATGCATATTTTGTTGAAGTATATACACAATAAGAATATAAAAAATTAATGGGGACATGCTAATCTTGAAAGTGCCTACCTCCGTTGGTTGTTCACTATATTTAAGCAGACATAATAATAGGAATAATGAAAGTAGGCCTTCCAAAGAATTGTATGCTTTAACATATGATTGACAGGGAACTGTGTGAAATCAATCATTCATTCAGCAAGACCTTCAAAAGCAAAGTAATTTATGCTTTGGACCTCAACTCATGTATATGGTCACCATGATGATCCTTGGTTTTGACTGATTCCAGATTTTTAGGGCTTGATGTTTGCTGTTCTTTTATTTTGTTTTCTATGAAATACAAAAAAATATTTTCTGGGCTCTATTGTACAATACTTCCAGAATTAAGGAAGTTATCATAATTTTTGAAGCTTATTGATCCCAAAGCTCTTCGAAAATGTGGTCTTTGTATTCTGCTGAAGACGATTGACTGTAGTTCAACAAATTCCCGAACAAATGACATCCAGCACCTCAGAGTTCGGTACCAATAAGATTGATTTTCTGCCTTTAAATCTAAATCATTTTTTTGTAGTATATCCAAATAGATCTAGATTTGTTCAACTAAGAAAAAAACAACTTGTCGAAAATAAGAAATATCAGCATCCTACCCAAACTACTTATCGCATACCATATGAACAAGACAAACAAAAATATAGTGAAAAAAAAAAAAAAACTGCCATTCAAGTTTGCCATCAGACAATAACTAAACACCAAAAAAAAAGTATTAAAAGAAGTCTATATTGAAAATTGAACCAGCTAAAATGTGCTACCTGAAAGATATACCGATGATATGAACAAACATGAAAAGGTATTTGAATATTATCAAAACAGAAGCACAGTATCCTACAGTTTGCAGGAAACATTTAAGAGGGCTGAAAAGACACAATCGAAGGTATTGAAGGGATGGGAGACTAGAAGATAAGTTATCGCATGGAATTCAACTACATGACCAAGTTTCTACGTAATCCAAGCAAAACTAATACTTCTAATAAGTTTCAACCTAACATTCCTACATCCCTGTACTTGTGTGTTCTCTTCACCTGACATTTCCAAATTAAAATAGAAAAAGAAAAAACAGTAATCTGATTCTTAATATTTAATCAAAGCCAACTAAACAACACAAACAAATTACTAAAACCAAAAATTTAAAATTCTAATTCATTCACCTCATGCTCAATTGCTTCGCCAACAACGGATGCGGCTTGAACCACCCTAACACTGGCAGTTCCAGCATTACCAGTCATCAACAACCCCATCAACTTATGCATGGTGATAACTGCCATCATATCAGCCGGCAAGTGATTAAAATAGGCTCCATGAGGAACCCTCAAGTTCTGCCTACACAATTGTTGCTCTTCAACAATTGCATCCCTCAAAGGCTCAAACCAACCAAGAAACAAAGACTTTACATATGGCAAATTAGGTGCCAATTTCTGCTCACACATGTCCTCTAACATCTCCCGATACTCTTGCGCCGCCTGTTCCCATGCTTCTGTCTCCATCTTTACCTGCCTCCTTTTAAGAATAGCATACTTTCCAATCCCCATACCAGCCACCATCTTCTTTTCTTGAGGCCTAAATTGTGACTCCATTTTCTGGAAATGCTTGTTAACTTCCTCATTTAGTCCTTGAAAATCGTCAGACCCAGAAAGGTCTGATTCATCAGTTGAAGAAATCACCTCTGCAGCAGCTGCTGTTGCATACCCCTTGAGGAAACAAGGGAAGAGACCGAAAGGGTTTGTTAAATCACCAAAACTAGGATTTCCCAATTTGTCATTTTGTGGTAAAACACCAATCTGACGAGAATCTAGAAGAGAAAAAGTTGAATTTAGGCATGTTTTGGTATCTGGGAATCTGGTTTTTTCAATAAACGTTGAGTCTTTACAGAGATTGCTAGAATTTGAGGTAAATTTCAGCTTTTTAGAAGGAGCATATTTGGCTAAGGTTCTCCACATGATGCAGAAAGCAAGAATTTTGAATGAATGATTTATTATTATAATCCGAGGGCTTCAAATTCCAGTAAAGGACGTGAAATAGCAATGAAAACAATAATGGACAGGGAAAATTTTTGAAAGAAAGTGAGGGAACTGTGATACGGAGAGAAAGATGGGGGATGAAACAAAGATTGTGAAAGAATCAAAATCTTTGCATCGAGCAAGGTGGAGGAGCTGTAGGAGGAGCAATGAGAACGGTGAAAGGAAGCATAGCCGCCTTTAAACCCTCCTAAAAACCTATGAGGGATGGGCTTCTTCTATTTATTTGCATGGGTCCATGGGTTTTAGGGCCTAATCGTTTCAGTGGCTTATGAGGTCATGGACCATACTTAATTGGGAAAAACTATGGAGTAGTATTTGCTGTTTGGGTTGGCCCGATTGCTTAACCCTTTTTCATTTCCTTTTTCGGGTAATAAAAAAATCGGGTTACCAAATTTTATTTTTTATTATTTATAAATTTTGAACTAAATAAAACTTATTTTACTCTTTTAATTTTCTTAATGCTATCTCTGTATTTTTTTTTTAATTCAAATTTTCCATGTGACAGAAAATTGAAAAACTAAATAAAAAATTAAGTGAAAATAAAATTAAAAGAAAAAAATATATTTAAAAACACAAAAAGGCATTTTATCTTCTACACTATCCGGGTCTAGCCAGCAAAACAAAGCATATTCCTCGTTTTTTTTTTTTTTTTTTTTTAAAGATTTGAACACAGAGAAGAAGAAACAAACTTCAATCTTTTCAAATTGCATCATCAAACACATAAATGATTTTAAAGATTTGAATCTTGTTCCTTCTTCCACGTGTTCACATCTTTAAAATAAAATAAAATAAAAAACAAGTATGTGATTGTATTGCTGGTTAGATTCAGATGAAGGAGAGATAAAATACCTTTTTGTGTTATTAAATCAGTTTTTTTCTTTTAATTTTATTTTCAGCTAATTTTTTTATTTATTTAACTTTTTCAATTTTTTTGAAAGGATATATAAAAAACATGTGAAATTTTTTTGATAAAATGCCTTTTCTTTAACCTTTAAAGCACAACGGCAAGACATGAAGGCTGCTCTCTTGCGTTTAAACCTAATCACCTAGTAAAGCTTGCCACGAGCGCTTGGAAGGATATCGGTCGGAATCTTTGGATTAATGACTTTCAGTTCAAATCTCCTATGTTCCAACTTCATATGTTTTCACAATTATAGCAATGGATATTGTATAAAAGATTGAGAAGGGTGCTTCAGAAGGAAGCGAGAATTCTAGGATAAGAACAGAAGGATCTAGCAATAATACCGTACATGTGAGGTGGCTAAACAAGTTCAGCATTCGCTAAGAGTAACCTGACAAAACAAGAGGAAAAAAGGATTGCCTTAAGACAAGTAGTCCAACGAATCCCATGAAAAAACAGTTAGTAATGGTTATTAAGCTTATATCAAATTAAATTATGACGAGCAGAGAAAGGATGCAGTTCCAAAAGTTTATTTGACACAACGAAATGATACAATCCTACAAAGATCCAACCCACGATCCAAACCTGACGATTCCTTTCCCATCATAAATTTATCAGCACATCTCTCTCTCCACCCTACTCTCTCTTTTTTGTAGCAAAATAAATAATGCCTCAATTTCTAGTATGTCAATATAACGATTAATCTTGCCAAGGATCACTCTCCGTCCTCACTTCTGATGCTTCAATTACTTGTGGCTCTGAGGCCTCACTGGCAGTTGCATCAGATTCTGCAGCATTATCTGCCTCAGCCTCTGCCTCTGTCTCATCTCCTTCTGATCTACCCCATCTCCCTCCAAGTGCCATGGCCATCATCTCATATATTTTACCACCCAGCTCAGCTGGGCTGTCAGGCTGCAGCATCAAGGGAAAAAAGTGAATAACAAGAGCATACTCATATTCAAGCGAATACTAAGCAATAAAAAGAAATTTTTTATTAAAAAAAAAAATGTTGATTCTTACAGTGAATCCGCTGGAGATCAATGCTGTGTCATATAGGAGGTCAACAGCTCTCTTGGCATCACTGCTGTCAGGTGAATTCTTGCAAGCGGCCTGCATATACAAACAAGCATATATTCACAAACTCCTCCGACAAATAAGCAATTCATCTTTGGTTGTCATCCATAAAGTTATTCCACAAGGCAATACTTCAGTGAAAGAGGGATTCTCGGCATCCTTGAACTTTCATCACATGTGCCTCTACTAAGTCAGTAACTAGCTACCTCTCAAACTACCTATATACATAATTACATCTCGGTACGATAATAACTCAGAAGACCCTTCACACAAATGGAAAGGCATGCCATGAAAACCTTCCTTCTCCTAACATGAGTTTATATGAAAGATGTGTACTATCACAATGTAGATAAGATTATTGCATCGCACACTGGGTTAAGGACACTTCTAAGTTGTCACTCTTGTCTTTTAAACTGTAGATGAAATGTCATAAGTCAAGGCTTGAAATCTTTTTTCTCATCTTGACAATTTGACTTTACTAATGCACCACTACTGCGTACATGATAAGAAGGTAGTTTAAAGAAAAAGAACATGATAGTTAATAGGCAACGTTCAACAAACAAAAACAGGGTTTTCTTACCATCACAGAAATGGTCAGAAGCTAGCTAAGTAAAGAGGCCTAAACAACTTGATTAAACACCAACCCCCCCCCCCCCCCCAAAAAAAAAACAATAAAAAAAAAATTGGTCCACTTTCGGTGGGTTTTACAGAGAATCGCTGAGTTTAAACAGCATATCTTGCTTAAGTGAATTAGACATAACATGATTAGATTCTTATGATAAACCATCATATAATCATCCATTTCCCATTTGATTAGCTATGTCACACAATGTCCATCATTTCTTCAAACTATCTCTCATCAGGTTCTCCAATACTTCATCAGTTACTGATTAAAGAAGAAGAAAAAGAACCGAAAAAAAAAAAAGCTTCACCAAATTAATCAGTGTTGAGAAGAACGGTCTTACATTTAAGTCTTTAATGATTGGGTGATCTGGATTAATCTCCAGTATTCTCCTTCCCCTCATGAACTCCAAGCTAGATTGATCTCCAAGAGCTTGGGCTTTCATCAGCCTTCAAAAGCACGAAACATTTGAAAGAAATAAACAGAATAAGCTTGAGCTTTGGTTAGGTGGGTTGGGGGTGAGATAGGTGTTATTGAATAGCATTTCTAACCTTTCCATGTTGGCAGACCAACCAAACTTGCCAGAGACAAGTACACATGGAGAAGAGCTCAAACGCTTTGAAACTTGGACTTTGGCCACCTTTTCACCAAGTTGCTGCTTAACCCAATCACACAGGAGATCGTATTCTTGTTTAGATTCCCTCTCTTTAACCTCATCATCATCACCTGGCATAAAAAACCTATCTCGTTATCAAGATGGACATTAGAGCCCCAAGAAGGCAGGAGCTATGCCAAGAAAAAGCTTTTGAATTGCTTCTCCGATTAATACAATAGACACAGAAATTGCAGTTCTAACCGAACTCTAGATCTTCCTTGCTGATGTCAACAAATTTCTTCTCCTTGTAGGTTTGCAGGTTCTGGATGGCGACTTCATCTATTGGCTCTATTAAATAGAGTACCTAGAAACAAAGCAACAAACAAAGCCACATCAGACATCCAGGATCTTGAAAAGAAATATCAGATGTCTATGCCAACACAGAACCTGAAACAGCTTATAAAGAAAAAGGACAGACTACAAAATATAACATTATCATAGCAACAGCTACAAGGAATGGTCAGGAAAGAAAAAGAGAGACAGAAACTATGTGTGTGTCAGCCTTTCTGGAATTCATGAATAGGAATTTTCATTAGCCAAATTAAAAAAATAATAATAATAATAATTTAAACCTACTTCAGCCCAGTTATAGTTTAATCCCTCCTTTTATTTAAGGTTTCAATTATTTCATTCTTCTTCTGCATAAGTGTATATCATATATTTACAATCTTATAAAACACATCATTAAGGTCATGTGTGTATCCGCATTGTTTGCATATCATTTTACTTGAGGTTTTAAACGTTTTGTGTACCCAACAACTGCAGCCATTACATAACACCAACAGCAGCACAACTGTGATTTAAAGCCATCATACTCTTGTGTTTTAGGTTGAGCTTACAATTAGATGGTTAGTTATTTTTATTTTTTCAAAAAAAGGTTCATTAGTAATCGAATCACTTAAAAAAACTATATATTCTGCATAGCAGAAAAACTAGAGTTCACCATGTGAATTCAAGTGAGATTATAGCTATATCTGCACCTGGCACATACCTCAATGTCTTTTTGAACCAACTTCTCCAAGAAAGGTGCACTCTTGGCACTTTTCAAGCTGTCTGTTGCCAAGTAATAGATAGCCTTCTGGTTTTCTCCCATATTTTCAACATACTCATCTAAGCTTGTGAGTTCTTCCTCGCTTTTAGAAGTGTAGAACCGCAACAGTGGAGTTATGCGCTTGTGATTACCAGTGTCTTCAATACATCCTAACTTTAGAAACCTGCCAAAGTTCTCCCAGAATTTTTGTAATCCTGAAAATCAAAAACATATACATGCCCTATTCATTAGTAATCCACAGGTCAAACAAAGGATAAAATGTAAACTACTTGCTACTAACCTCTTTGTTTTCACTTTCAGAAAGATCTTGTATCATGTCAAATGTTTTCCTAACTAGCCTTTTTCTCATAATCCTTACAATCCGACTCTCTTGCAGAATCTCTCGAGAAACATTTAGAGGGAGATCATCAGAGTCCACCACACCCCTCACAAAGCTCAAATATCGTGGAAACTGCCAAAAAAAAAAAAAAAAAGGGAAAGACAAAATACTTAGCTTGTTGTTGCATTAAAATGCAACTTTATGACAACCTTAGTTCTCCAAAACAGTGTATTAACTCTATGTAGAAAACCAAAAAAAAAAAAAAAGAAAGAGAAAAAAATTGCACCAAGGACAGAGTACACATTAAATGGATATGGACACAGATCTACCCCAATCAAAATTCAGATCCAATAATGCGTATGATTAAATATACGTGAAGAAAATGCAAAAAACAGTAAAATTAGGATTTCAAAAATTTATTACAACACTTACCAGCTCCCCATCAAAATCATCAGAGATAAATACCCGCTTCACATATAAACGAATGTTCTTTGTTTTAGGATTTATTACTTCCTCATTGTTAAGAGGCCCCATTCCTGGAATGTAAAGAACACTCCTAAACTCAACTTCTCCCTGCAAAATTTTTCTGAAGTAAATTACATACCCTGAACAATTGGTAGCCAAGTGAAAAGCATGAAAAATATGGTACCTCTGTGGTAAAGTGTGTGTATGCAAGTGGTTCCAGGAATTCATTAAATGTCTTCTTGTAGAACTCCTGATATTCATCCTTTTCAACTTCCTTCGGATTCCTCATCTATAACAAAAGGAAGAGAAAAATAAAATACATCAAATAAGAAATAGCAAAAAACAAAGGTATTACATATGTTAAATACACCGAGAATACAGCTGCTACTTAAATACTCACCCAAATTGGTTTTGTTTCATTGGCTAATTCCCAATCCCAATACTTCTCAGTTTTAGTTTTCTTTGTCTTTTTCTTCTCACCCTGCAACAGGATCACGAACCCATTTAATGGCATGGTCGATTAGACAAAAAAATATAGCACCAATATTAAGGTTGTGATGGCATTTACCTCTGGCACCTCGTCTCCTTCTTTTGGTTCTTCCTCCTCTTCAACCTGCCCAAGGTTTCAATTTAGCGAAGAGCACTTCAGTTGGTAATGGCTTAAATGTACAAACAGCACTAATAACGACAGAAATAATAGTCAGTTCAAATTATTACTCAAAAAATCATGAGATACTGAAATTATAAGTTCTTACAAAAGTTCTAAGAATGGATATGCAAATCAAAGCTCCATCCACCCAAAATTTTCAACTTTCATGTAACTTTCAATGAGCACGATGATAAAGAGGGATGCATTCTAACCTCAACAGTCCTTGATTTTTCTACCCATGTATAGATGGGGAAAGCAACAAATTGAGAGTAATTCTTCACCAACCCCTGAATTCTGACCGGATCTGAGAATTCATACTTGTCATCTTCCTGCAATTGAAAAATAACATATAAGCTTGCTTTTGATGACAACTACTGAAGTTGAACAAAGAAATGCATGAATCCTACAACGTCCCCCCAAGCCAGAAGAAGAGATAAATTTCAGTTTTGTTTTTGAACCATAAGAAATAATATTGCCTTTCAACAATAAGGTTGAATGCCTATTTTGCATTTAACTTGTGAATTATATCCAAGGAGCATGTGTACCTTTAAATAAAGTGTGATTTGAGTTCCACGGCGCAGGAGATTTTCGGGTTCAGTTTCCTCCTTAATGACATATGAGCTACTGTCTGCTTCTGATTCCCAAACATATTGCTTATCTGACCTTGGGCTCTTTGTAGACACCACAACCTGAATGCAAAATATGATGATCAAGATTGATCAGGAACTTGCCACAGAACTGCCAGTCACAAACACTTCAAATAACAGCAAACAGTGCAATATATACAAAAAAGTGAGTAGGAAACACATTGCACCTTCTCAGCAACAAGAAAAGCAGAATAGAAACCAACACCAAATTGACCGATCAAACCATTGTCTGCTCCAACATCTTTGTTCTCCTGCAAAGATAATAGCCAGAGAACTTAGATATACGCCCAAAAGAATCTAAGAATGGTAAGTGAATCGATGTTATCTTGAGAAGAAACAGACACCTTAAGAGCCTGCAGGAATTTGGAAGTACCACTCTGAGCAATAGTTCCAAGGCAGTCGACAAGCTCCTCTTTCGTCATCCCAATGCCAGTATCCCTGCAGATTCAGAAAAATCGGATCAAATTGCTTCCCAGCATACTTTTATCTATGCAAAGGAAGTAAAATTAAAAAAGTGTTTGCATACGTTATGGTAATGGTGCCATTGTCTGGATCAGGTTTGATGCGTATCTCAAGGTCACCAGCATCCCCAAGCAAAGAGGGTTCAGTCACACTTAAGAATCTTAACTTGTCTAAAGCATCACTTGCATTACTGCATCACAGTAATAGAATCAATTACATTTGGAAGTACTACCAAATCATCAAAGTATCAAAAGAAAAGACAATAGTAACACATTTTGTCAAGTAAAATAGGTACAGAGGCATAAAAGCCTTTTCCGATGGGCTGCTTTTTCATGTGGCTTTGTGCACAAATTATTCCAATGCTCAGATTAACAAACTAAATGGAAAATTAGCAAACTCATAAAACCTGAGATTAGGGAAGATCGGCATGCTTACTAACTACCAATAAAGTAAAGCTCACCTCACAAGCTCTCTCAGGAAAACTTCCTTGTGGCTGTACAGACTGTGCACTATCAAATCCAATAGTCGACTAACCTGAAACGATTAAATTTCTCAACTTTCGGTGCTTTTGAAACAAAAACTTGACTCCAAACTAAACATAGCATGAAAAGATCAATTATAACAATTTAAGAAACCACAAAGCATCCATCTTTGACAAAACCTTCATAATCATAGTATTCAAGACTCAATAGATTGCTAAGTAATTATACAAAAATCAATCATTAACCAATAAAAAAAAACCTTCAATGGACAAACTGAGACCAAACAAAACTAGACTAAGACACAAGAAAAATCAAGACCCAATCCGCAAAACCTCACAAAGATTCCACCTTTCACAAAACAAAACGAAACCCACCTCAGCTTGGTACTCAAACTTCTCGCCAGAAGTATCATTAGCTTCCTTCTCGGCCACAGCAGCCTCACACCGAACCGAAATCCGGCAATTTCTCTTCTCAAGTTTCCAATTTAAGCCAGCACAAACAAAACCCTTTTTGAGGCCATTATTTTGTGGCAAAAAACGACTTCTCAGATTGACGACTTTGTTAGCTGGATGTCTAATAGAAGAGGGAAGGGAGACTAAAGAGGCAGAACTAGCTAAGCTTCTGCTTAGAACTGGAGCCATTAGAGAGACAGAGAGGGAGAAGATTTTTTTGGAGTTCCTCTTATCTACTATCTACTTGAACAGAGGAGAGTGTCGCAATGAAGGAAGAAAACCCTTTAGGGGTTTAAGGAGAAGAGAAGAGGGTTCTAGAATTTGAGACAGCAACCAATGCAATTTTTAAGAGTTTTGTACTTGGAGTTATGTGCGTAAGGATTGTATGGCTTAGATGTTGCCATCTCAGCATCCACGATATCCTCTTTATTTTTTTATTTTTTTCCCTTTCTTTAACTTGAACAACACAAAAGTAACCTTGTGAATAACGGGAGTGAATTATAAATTAACCCTCTTTTTTCATAATTTAATTATTTAAGTCGTTGTCTCTTAATCATATTTAATTTAATATTATTTTATTTAAAATATAATTTTTAATTAATTTTCTCATATTTTTAACTTTTGTTTCATTTTTATTTATTTTTTAAAATAATTAAAAAATAAACAAATTAAATTAAATTAAATTAATAAAAAAATAAAAGCATATTTTCATTTTTAAATAAAGTAAACTACTTAATTTTGATTATCGATGACTAATTTATAATTTAAAAAAAATACTAAAAGATTTGGACCAAATGAGGATTAATTACTATTTTTAATAATTTTTATGGTGACGTTTTCATTATTTTTAAATCATTTTTTATGATTTATAAGTAAATTTTACAACATGTTTTATCTTGATCTTTCATGTTTTGAAAAAATAATTTTGATTTCTCATGTTTCTAAAAGAAATTTGCAGTTCGTAGGTGGAGATACAAGAAAGAAGAGATGAGAGAAAAAGCTATGATCAAGCTAGATTCGGGATATTTTTATAAGGATCTTGCATTTATATTGTTTGTTTTGTAAAAAGAGAGTGTTTGAAGTTTTTTTAAATCATAAAATGATTAGATAAGATAAACCGAAATCGAAAAAAATAACTTTATGATTTTTTTTTTAATGTGCATTAAAATAGTTTTTAAGATTATAAACAAATTTATTAGCCTTATTTCGGCAATTTGAAATGTTTTGGGGCAAAAATGATGTCGAAAAGGAGATTCGGAGATCTGTAAACGAACCTTCTTTTTCGACAACAATTCCGACAAACTCTAGTTTGCTAGAAATTTCAAGCGAGCAAAGCGTCTCGTGTTGCTGCCTAAGGAGAGCAGCGCGCAGTCCATGTTTTTTTTTCCCACAAGGCTACTTTGGCAAGCCCATATACAAGGTTTTTTTTTCCCTTAGCAATTTATGTTTATTTTTTTATTTAATTAGATGTGAAAATTATGAGAAACAATGGTCTTTTTTTCTTATAGAATAAAAATTATAAAATATATATGATATATTTTTAATATATATATATTGAATTATATTATTCTTATTATTTAAAATCGATCTTTTTACTTTGTCGTTTCATATGAAAATTCTCATCAAATTAATTTTTATTAATTTTTATGTATTTTTTTTGTTGATAAATATTTATTTGTTTATTTTTTATATGATCAAATTTTATTGGAATCAATTTTGTTGTTGTTTTTATTACACTTTATTAATTTTTAATATATTTCTTACAATTTAAATTTTTTAAAAATATTTTTTGATTTATACCACACATTCTAACCTACTAAGCATGATCGTGATGAATAAAAAAAAATTGAGATCATTGATTTTGTTAAAAATTAACTATGCATCTATACACAAAACATCAATAATTTGCTATTACTTCATTTTTTAATATTTTAAAATTAATTTCTTCAAAATAAAATAATTAAAACAATATTTTAAAAGAACAACGTAATAATTCAAATATATATTTTAATACTAATATTATTGATTATTTTGTAAATAAATTTATATAAATTAAATGTATATATTTTCAAAACGTTAAAGAAATAATTTATTTATTAATTTTTATGCAAGTTTTTAAATTAATTGTTGCTGTTTTTTCTTCAATGCAATCTTATGAAAAAAAATATTTTTTAAAATTCTATATTAAATTTTTTGTTTATATTATTTCAGGTTTTTATATAAAAATGAAAGCCCAATGAAGAACAAATTGTGTTTTTTAAAATACAAAATTTATAAAAAAAAACATAAAAAAGAATAAATAAAATACAAAAAATTGATTAAAATTATGAAATTAAAATAAATGTGTCGAGTGAAGCCTGCTACATATTCGACTAGTTTACTATAAATGTCCAATCTTTAATCCAATGATGTTATTATCAATTTGGTTCCAAATTCCAACCTTAAATGTAAACCCAATTTTAGGGTTTAAAAGCCTATAAGAGTGTGCTTATCAGGGAAGTCTAAACACCAGACCTAATTTTGAGTTTTAAAAGCCAATTTTGGTGTGCTTATTAGGGAAGCAAGCACCAGGCTTCGCAGAGTGATTATTACCTGATAGTTTTCTTTTCTGAAGCAAGATCGAGTCATAATCATACAATTTTTCATTATAATCATTCTAGGAAATAGGACTATGCTATTATATGATCCGTTAAACCTCGATCTGAACAAAAAACGAAAGCAGTCAGAAGTTTTATGCCAAAAAAATCATAGCAGTACCAACATTTTTGCTGATATAAATTTAACTACTAGATTTGGATAAAATATCAGAAAGGAGCCCTCACATTTAAATCCAATGATGCAATGGTGATTGACCTTTGCTGGTATTGTAGTAAAGTAAGAGCTGGTATAGTAGCACAGAACTATTATCTTGAATTTGCAATGGTGATTGACATTTACTGGTACTTGTTTGTGCTAAAATGGGGTACAATTCGGTCGTTTTCAAACATGTTTTGGGTGGGAACGAGAGCAATGATTTTAGGTTCCTTTGATTCCCTTGCCTTGTTATTCTTACCCTTTTAGAAACTTTCTGTCCTTTCCTTGCTTGCAGTTTCTTAAAGTGAACAGTCAACAACCTCTGGAAACTAGATAGGAAGCTTCTCAGAGTTCAATGTATGATGGAACGGAAGAAGATTTGTACCAACCTCAACTCCTCCCAACTCTGCATTGTCGAGGAACCCAAAAACATAAAATTTGGCAAGTTTTTCACTTTGGAAACACCATAGATTTATTCTCATTTATTATTGCAGAACTCTAAAAGCAACCCCTCTAGTAAAACCAGTTGTACTTGATTCAATATAGCTGGTTACTTGGAAGAAACGTTGTCATTTCTCTTCCTTTTATCCTCTACAAGGAATAAGAGTAATAAGTGCTTAAACATTGTGTTTCTCCTCCGGCTTCGCAATATGCAGTTAAGGGGGAAAAAACAGAAATCATTGTTGGAACATGGTGTGCTTGTAGGACACAAAGTGAGTGTGCGTTTCCTTCTTTAAATATAAATATTCTTGAAATTTTTGAAACGGAATGGCCATAGCACGTGTAATCAATTCAGCTACAAGTATTCACATAGGATATCAACAAGCAAAAGCAAACAGCAGATTGAACGAGAAAGGTTATGAGAATCAGGATAATAAATAAATAAGAATCAACCAGTAATGAGTTGACTAAAAAGCTGTGGGGAATAATTGATGATTATTGGCTGACCACGGTTCATTTGCCTAGATACTCTGTTGAAAGCTCCAGTGGCTGCAGGAAAGGCATTTTCCATTTTTGCTGAATTGATCCAGGACTATCTAGGTGCAACATGATTGATGTATGCCAAACACTTCAATCCATAAGGTAACTGAAATAGATAGAATAATATAAGATTTGGGATCAATAGATGAATGTGCATTAAATTAAGTAAATTAGAAGTAATCCACAACTAATCCCACAATCTCAAGAAATCCACCAGACAAGGAACTGGAAAAAGACGTTAGAGTCCAAATAGAATTACTGACCTTGACCTGATCAGGCCTCCGCGGCTGCCTGCTTAAGACAATCAACATTGCACAATCCAACAGACCTCACCATGTCTCCCAACCTGTCATAACCAATTCCAATTATTAACATCATCATATATTCCTCAACATAGACTTTGAAAAGTACATGAAGCAAAGCAAATTAGGCCTTAGTTAAACAGACCGGTCGAAGCTGTTCCTCGCTTTCTCTGGCTGATCTGTGCTATTTCTTGCTTTTCCCATGCGATCAATGCTCTTTCGTGTCCTCTCTCTTCTGTCAGTGCTGGCTCTCGCTTTCTCTCTACTCTCGGTGCTTAGCCTGGATTTTTCTCTGTGTCCAATACTAAGCCTGGCCTTCTCTTTATGATCTGTGCTTGGCCTTGGCTTTTCCGCATCATGTTCTGCAATATTCAAAGGCTGTTCAGGTTGATCGGTACTTTGTGCTGATGCATTTCTAAGATGTGGCGGCAGTTTTTCGATGGCAGACACGAACTTCTTGAGATGCTTCAAGTACTCTGGGTAGAGTTCCAGATTGCAGTGGTTTCCTCCTTTAAGCCATAATGGTTCATACTTCTCTTTGCAAAGCTCCCAGAGCTGCTTCCCATGAGAGAAATCCACAACTTCGTCTTCCGTTCCCTGCACTCACCAGTAGGATAACACAATGTCATCACAAATTCTTGCATCATCTTATTTTGCAATTTAATCATTTTCAAATAATGTAAGAAGCTCTTATCATAAATGCAGGATTTCGAGTTCTCCTAAGGTTCATATCCATTCTGCTCCATTTAGAACAATTCTTCAAGAGTCATTGTTATTCATAATCATAGCTCATGCCTAACCAACTGAAATAATATTATTTATTACAAAGTTTGACCACGAGAAAATATATACTTGTTGATAAACTCCACTGCATCCTGATGACATTACTGAACGCCAATGTGTTTTTGCAAGAACACAACTCATATCATGAAATTCAATTTGTCAATACTGCACCAGAAAGTCAGATCCTCATTTACAAAGCAAAAAGAAAATTTCTGTTGTGTCGACATTAGAATAGTATAACATGGAAGCAAAGGTCACTTATAAGAATAAAATATTGCATCAAAACTTGCAGAATATGTCTGTTGGACTGAATTTTGCTTCAGGAAATAAGCAAGGGGAAGTGATACTCACATGAATTACAAGAACTGGGCAATTGACTAGCGGAATTTTATCAATATTCTGCAGTGGAAAGACAAAGGGGTTACCATGAAATGAAGTATCAAATCTACTACAGTAAAACTACAGGGCAAAATGTGGGACAGGAACCTTGTAAATGTCGAACCAGAATGTTTTCTTGATAGGATACATGACTCGGAGGCCAGACAGGATTGGACTGTGAAGAACGACGGCCCTTAATTCAGGCAAATGTGTAGCCAATTCAAGAGCAGGTCCACTCCCCACTGACTGACCATACAATATAATGTCTTCCTCCTTCACTCCATATGTCTCTTCAAGGCATTTATATGCAGCCTCTATGTCAGAATAGGTGTCATGCTCACTTGGCTAATTGATACCAGGGCAATGCATAAAGCAGCAGTCATTTCACTTGTTATAATTAGCGGAAAGAAAAGAACACATTATACCGAAACAAAGCTTCCAAGAGTACTCGTAAATACTAGTGGGAAATGTCAAAACTGTTTCAAATTGAGTATGTTTTCACTCACGAACGTTTTGACTTTGTAGCTCACAGAAATGTTAACGGTTCAAAGTGCATTTCTTTGTTTCATCAACTGGTTTAAGCAGCCTGATCACGATGTAAGTTTAGAAAGCAATGCCGTTACCAATTGGATTTGAATAAAGTAATGAAAAAAAATTCATCAAATTTCAAATTTAATAAACTTGCTGGTGTCGGCATTATAGTAACACCCCTGAACTGATCACTAATTATTATTTGCTGCTGGAATACTAGTGCTTTTATAATGCACTGAGTATTGTCAAGAAATTAGAAGTGCTTCACCCTAACCCTCCTACATCCTGTTATCTCTAAAGGTTAGGCCAGCCTACCAAATTCGCTCAAAACAAGGCAAATATGGCAAAAGAGCCTCGTCATAAAACATGGAAAATCAAATTTCAATTCTCTCTGCTTTGACTTTTGAAAGTGTTCACCCAACATTATCATGAAAGTAGAAACATTCTATTAATTTCTTGGCTAAGTGAGCTTGATTGATTGGGATTTTAGTTTGATCACTACCTTATGTTCTTAATAAGGTCAGATAAAAGACACAGAATATCATACCTTTCCAGAAGACTGTCCATAGCCAGAATAATCATACCTGCATAACTCCAAAAAATGGCATAGATCATCATAGAATCAAATTCATAAATATAAAAAAAAACAGATACTATTGGCAAGAACTTTAAAATTTCTGATTCATATTAATTAATATGATCAAACTGACCCACCCCATAAGATTAACATTAAGGTGCGAGCTAAGCTCAGTGAAAATATGATACATCTGGCCGATATCAGCAGCATTGCCATGAGAATACAACACTGTCAATGAAGCCGAAGGATTCTTCACATACATGGCAACAATCTCATTGCCTTTCTGGGTACATAACTTCAAAACATCCACGTTGTCCCTCTGTTGGAGTACATCTGATGAGAGCCTAAGTTTTCCAGTTTCTTCATCAACTAATATGGTGTAAGATGGTGGATTTGGTGGAAAGAAGGCAAATTTTGCTGCCATCGATGATGTTGCTATCCCCATTTGATAAAAAAAAAAAAAAGAATATTGATAGGATAGCTTCGAGGTGATTAACTTTTTTGGGATGTGAAAGGCTATGAGAAGAGCATGGTAAAGTTTTTAGTGTGTGTATTTCTTTAGCAATTTTATTGGAGAGAGAGTGGTTCGGGTTTGGTTCTTGAGAAAAATGGTGTTTGTGAGAGTAAACATGGAAAGAGCAAAATCAGAGGAAAGAGATTTTATAGTTTATTTGAGAGGAGTAATTTTAGGCCGTCTAAATGATATGTTTGAATTCATTTCCAAAAACACATTTAATCATAGGAGCCAAAAAGGGCAATGCTTAATGTCCTGTTTTCTCTTCAGAGCTCAGCCTAGACTACTGTGCCTATCGAAGTGTCCCTCCTTTGGCATGGTTTTTGCTAATTCTAAAATCCATTTGAATAATTATAGTTCTTTGTTCAAAGTTGGTTTCTTGATGATGCTTGCTTTGATGTATAATAGACAAAACATTTGAGAGAACAAAAGAAGATTTTATGGTAGAAAAAAAAGTGGATGAATGATGAATGAGTGGGGGACTAAGGACTCCCAAACAATATTCAAAGTAAATGAATTTTGGTGGGACTAGAATAGAAGGGACTGGGGAACACTTCATGATTGCATATAAGTACATATATTTTTTTAACTTTGAAATTCTGGCTCTTCCTAATTGCTTTTCATTGCCTAAAGCTCCCAATAAGTAGTCATTGCTATTTGCTAATCATTTCTATTTCCTTTTTCCATTAAAAATAAAATCAAAATCCAAGTTCTAGGCTCCCTTGCAAGTGGGTCATCGTGACTGAGTTTGGGAGCTGGTTCCATGGAGCCGAAGAGTACACTTGTTAGGAACTTGGAATCAATCAACTAAGCAAGGCCATCAAGAAGGGCCAGAGCTTGCGACAAGCCACCAGCTCTTTGTTTTTGGGCATCTTAGCCCCCAACATCAGCAAGCCTTGACATGGACTCGAACCCACCATTTATTCTTAGGACTCAAATGACTGGATTTAGTAATATGAGGCTTATCAAGTTTGGTTCTTTTGAGTTCGCTAGTTGATTTCCCTAGGTGCACTCCTTGTCTAAGGGGCTGAATTGAAAAATGATTTGTGTAAACAAAATTTTGGTTAAATGGTTTAAAATTACTCTGCACTTTCCGTCAACATGGAAATTAGTCCCTAATCTATTTTTATTTTCATTTTAATTCTCTACCCTTTTTTTTTTTTTTTTTTTGCGCCAGGAATGTCACCTCTTTGTTAATTTTAACCACATATAAGTCCATCGTTATGAGAGAAAAACATATATTTGTCGGTATACTATTCATTGATAAAAATAAAAGAAATTTTTTTTGGAAAGATAATTTGCAACTTACAGTTTATAAAAATAGATTGGGGACTAGTTTCTGGTTAATAATAATTTTTAACCAATCAGCCTAAATTTTTCATATAAATAAACGTGGAAAAGTTTATTATTGAAAAGGTTATTGTAAGAGTGAGACTCTGCCCTAAGCCATTAATCAGTTATCGCTGAATCCGTTATCTTCGGTTACGAACTCTTGGCCATGGTCTTATCATTGTACTATGATCATGTCACCAAACTACTTATGTCTCCCCTCTGATAATTTTATTAAGCTCTCCTTGTTTTCTATTGAGATCAAGAGTATTATCACCAAGCTCATAAATTAATCAAGTGGACTGATTAACAATAGAAGATCGAGAAAGTGCTTTCAATGCTCAATGTTATTTTAGTAAGATTAAGCAGCATAAAACGTTTTTTATTTTCTTGATTTTCGTAATTTGGATTATATATAAAAAAAATATTTAACTCGTAACTCTACATTGTATTTTTTTTTTAATGTGGTTTATTCGAACTGTTTTTTTTATATAAAAAATAACATCTAGAAAAAAATTACTACATATCGTGATAGATCTTTTTTTTTTTTTTTTGTCGTACCGAAAAAACAAAAAATCAAAAAAATTAACTGAAATAATATATATAAACAAAAGCTTTCCCTCTCTTTCAAATCAATAGAACCCAGCAACAAAACACGAAAATCATTCTTCTTCTTCTTCTTCTTCTGTTTGCGATTTTCTCTGTTGCGTAAAACTTGCAAAACTCTCAAATCTCTCTCCTTTCGTACCTACCACCATCGCAACCTCTATTTTCTCCTTCTTTCATACCCTTTAAAATCATATCTCCCATTTACTCATCCTTGCTTACCTCACCTTCCATTCTAGCCACATCCCATTATCTCTTTCTTGTTTTTCCACCACTACCAAGTGGTATTAATGATGTGAATTGGGTTTCAATTTTATGATTAAGATTTGATTAATGATGTTAATTGGATACTGAGTATTTTCAATTACTGTTAGCAAATTAATTATTTTTGTTTCTGAGACTGCTAAATATTCCACTTCGGCTGTTGGAACTTTGTAGTTACCTTATTGTGGTCATTTGATTCCGAATTCTAAAAGCAAATTAATTATTTTTGTTTCTGTATACTTTCTAGGTTTGAATTCCTAAAAGCACTGCAAAATTTGATTCCAAATTCTAACAAGGAATGTTGTACTTTCTGGGTTTGAGCTCCGTGTTTTTTGATGAAATTCGTTGATAAGTGAGAATGAGCAATATGAAGACGGAATTCTGATTGTTTGGCAGCTATTTGCAAAAATGCCTGACACGGATTTGATTTATTAGAACTCGATGATTGATGAGTGTGTCAAATGGGGGGTCTCTGATTTGATTGTGTTCCACTGGAGAATTGAATTGTATTGTGTGATTTTTCTGTAATTATTTTGATTTTTTCTTAAAGTTTTAATCTTTGGTTTCTATTATAAATTAATGCGATAATTGCAGGCTGAATTAAGAGGATTGCTACGAATATAGATGTAGCAATGTTTTGACAGGTGCCATAATCGATGAGATCCAGCACATCTTTTGCATAACTAGTAGGATCAGAGTAAAAAATTCCTCAGTGTGGATCTAGGTTCATAGCACGATGAATTTCTCCCTACAGTATTCCGCTGTTAGAATTACTGGCATCAATCAAGTTACAACAAGCGATCGTATTTTCCTGACTTGTGGAATCGAGTGTTTCCATGTGTAGAGCTGTTAGTCCAATTATACCAAAACTTCCGCCATGAAATCCATTCCTTAATAAAAATCACTATATAGTCTAGCCATTAGCATAGCTAATTCAGTCGTGTCTGACCCAAAATCTACAAAATAGACAGCCTGCATCCGCAAATAAGCTTAAGGATTTAGATATTGTATTCTAATCAGTTTAAGAGGCAGCAACTCATAATTTACTTCAATAACCTTCTCCACAAATAGGGGGAAAAAAAAATTCAATGCTCGTCAACAGAAAAACATTAATTTTTTTTTTCACTTCGTACAAAAAAAATGACAAATCATGACATGCGACATATGATAATTTTTTTACTAGGAGTTATTTTTTATCGAAAAATTGATGAAAAAGTCATCAATCAGGTCATATTAAGAAAAAATAAAGAATAGAAAAATGCATTGAACAAAAAAAATTTGCAAAGCCACATCAAGAAAATCAAAAGTATGCAAAACCACGTTAAAAAAATCGAAAGAGTAGAAATACATTTTCTAAGATTAACTTCAATTATTTTAGTGTGCCGACTGCTTATACTTGTTCAGCGACTACTAATTTCCTTTCCATTGGTTTTTCTCCCCTCGACGATCAGTATGTTGGATGTTGCATGAAATAATCAATACCCATGTTGATATATCTTCGTAACCATAATAATGACACGTATTTTATGTTCTATATAAATACCATTAAGCCAAAAATTCACTTTATACGGAATAATGTCGACCAAATACCAGCAGTTATGATCGAACAAGACCTAGCAAATCAGTATAGATAAATCTTCCGAATAAAAAAGATATCTTTCAACTCACTTGTTAGATAAAAAAAACATTCATTTAATAAAGACGTTACTTTTTAGGATGTTTATCATGTATCATCATTGACTATGGCTGTACAAATGCTATTAAACAGCGATTTATTTAAAAATGATTTGTTTTGTAAGTACTGACCTTTGAATCAACATCCATCAAATTATAATCACAACACAATCTGCTTAAATTAAAAGCCGCATCATCAACGATATTCATAGTAAAATTATCACCACCTCGAAACCTGCCATTACCAAATAAGATTCGTAGTTTATATGTCGATCAGTAACAAAGATTTTTCAATTATCATATAAATCCAATTAGTATCTAGCTATATATATTTAGTCATTTGCATAGTGCTCATGAAGCACCAAGTGGGATGGCATGTGGCAGCCAGAACATGCTTGTGGCCCAAGGATACGTAGCACAAGTTTCCATCGTTGCAGGGTGGTAGTTTTGCCCTTGTTGAAATTCATAGTCACACAGTCCTCAATGAGAGGGAACCCACCTTCCGAGTTTCAAAACACGTTGAAGTTGGGAGGAACGCCTTCTGTCTTCTAATTCCCATGTTCTAAACCCCAGTATTGCAGCTTTTCATGTTTTATCTTAATTAATTAGTGATTCCATGGTGTAATCACCAACCGGCCCCTTGATTTTCTTTTTGGTTTGTAAACAATATTCAATTGCCTATGTTCCAAGTTGCGATTAGCATACGAGACTGGAAAGGAACAGGATAAAATTAACCCTCTTTCATTGAACAAAATGGAACAGAAATCAGGTTATGGAATTGGGTTTATATACACAGCAAATCTCAGTAAAAGTGAAATTATCTTGTCTTGTACAGTTTTATGCACCAAAAACTGCCTTAAACTCAACTGGGTATATTGCCATCTTAATCAGAAACCATGCTAGCTGCTTATTATCAAATACTCAAGATGAAATAATGAAAAGAAAATTATCTTTCTGCTGATCAAACATGTACATAGCCATAGCTGATCTTAAACCATCACTAACTACTCTACATTTGTTACAAGTAGGCAGCACAATAGAATAGAAAGAAGCAGGAATAGAATTGATCAGAAATCTAAATCCATGTTCCATTCTATAGGGAACAGTAATTACATTGATAAAATACACATAGAAAACCTGGCATTAGGCTTTAATTATAACCTCGGCAAACTAAGAAAGGCTATCCTCGTTGATTGTATGGCGGCAGACAGGCCCAAAACACAGTTAGCTTCTATTCAACGGTGTCACATTCTTAACCTCTAACTCCATCGAAACTGTTAGTGGCTCTGTATTGGTTCCAACGCCACTGGTTCAAGTTAATTATAATAAAGTCCTTGTAGTTTATGGTAATTGTTTTATTAGTCCTCTTCGATGATAAAACAATTAAAGAGTCCCTTAACCAACATCCACCATTCTAAATTCAGTGATTACTTTTTTTTCCAGAAATACCTTCTTTACTAATCAAATTTTCTCATTGTCTTACCCATTTTTTATTATTTTCATTTTTCAAAAAATAAATTGAAAAATAACATAGAATTTAAGAGTTTAATAGTTTTTAGAACCACGAATACTAATTAATTGATTTAACAAAATAGAAGTGACTAACTTATAATTAACTCACGATCGTACTGCTAAACCTTTCATGACATCCCAACGCACAAAAAGTAGAATCATATTGTGATTGAAAAGTGCTTTGAGATTCTCGTTTTCGTCGATCGGTCCATTGACACATGGGGTGACCCGAGGGTTGATGCAATAATTTAATGTGTTATAAGTTGGTTTGCAGATACCGAGTTAGTACTAATTAATTAAAAAAATGAGCATGGAAAAACGAATGTTGGGGCCATAGTTAGCTAGCTTTGACCTGCAGGGTATATAGCTGACCGGTGTAAATTTGAATCTCTATAAATCTCAGTTTTGTGCTTTCATTTATTTCTCTTCTGCTGTTTTGAATATAAAAACAGATATATACACTCAATGAAATTAATGGCTGCTTTTCCTACGAAGTTTACATGCTTGCTGCTCTTACTGCTGTGTATAAATGCATGGCTCAACAGTTCACATGCCCATTCAGGTATACTGCCTTCCCTTTTCTGTCTTATACGCTTTTCATCTTGGTTCTTTGAGGTTATTTGATTATGCTAATTACATTTTGCTTTTTGAAACCTTGTAATGGGAAAACTAGCAGCTGTGGATCAAGTTGATACTTTTTCGAGTGAAAAGGTAAAGAATTCATGTTACTATAGCAATAATCAACTATTTGCCTAATGCCTGATGATGTCCTTAATTATTGTTGAGTCACTTTTGAAGTGCTTCATGGTAACTGCGTGCAGGGAGTAGTGGATGGTGATGGAATTGCCACTACCAGCATTAAAAGGATAGGAGGAAGAAAAATGGTTCTCGCCCCCAGTGGTATCAAAAGGTCAGACATTAAAGGCAATGGAGCACTTGGAGGGACCTCGAAGATTTCGAGTGCAAATGATCAAGCGGTTGGAAAATACGTCTATGAATTAGGGAAGAAGGTTACGAGTATAGGAAGAAATAAGGGAAATGGGAGTCGATTTTCTGAAGGGATTAACGATTCTGGTTTTGTGGCTTTTAATGCTGATTACCATCAACCTAGGCATCACCCACCTAAAAATAATTGAGCAATGATTTTCATCTGAAGATAGTTTCTAATACATCCAGACGACTCTTGCATGTTTTACTATTGCTTGTTAATTTTCTGTGTTTGTTTTCCAATGCTTCTTTTCTTTTTATTAATTTCTTTTTGGTTCATGAAATGACAGTGATATATTACTGCTAAGCATTTGACTTGTTAAATCAAGCTACCTAACATTCGAGTGTTAAAAATCGAATTCTTTCAAGCCACTCTGGTTCTGCTATCAATCATGCATGACTTAACCTTTTCTTCCTTTTTTTTTAATCTTTTGTACTGCTAGTTAATTGCTTAATCAGTTTTCTCATTCCACTAAAAATCAATTAGGTTACAAACATGCAAGAGTACCCTCATGACTTTCCATGGCTTCCCAATGATTTGGTTTTTTGGTGCATCGCTGCCTTTAAACCAATCAAATAATTTATGCGCTTCGTGTATAGGATTCTATATAAAATAATAATAAATAAATAAATAATCTTTACATTAACTCAATCTATGAAACAAACAATTTTAAAAGTAAATATATTCATCACTCTTTATATAATATTCAAAATCTTTTATATGTTTTTTATATTTTTAATTACATTCTATATAGCTTTAAAAGTGCTTAAAACATTCAATTTGTCATTTTTATCAATTTTTTTCAGTCAAATAATTTTTTATTGAAATGTTGCTCATTGAAATGCAAAAAATAAATAAAATAAAATTCTAAAAACTTCAGAAATAAAACACGTAGATCATGTGATTTTAAATTTTTTGTCTTTTTAATAAAGAGTATTTTGATAAAAACAAAAAAATTTCATAATCATAAAATTTGATCGAAATAATAAATTAAACATTTTAAAATTTGTTCAGACACATATAATATGAAATTAAAAATCTAAAAACAGATTGAAAATTTGGAGTATTATATAAAAATATATAGATATATTTACCTCAATTTTAATTGATCAATGTAGTGAATGTCATGTGATCCCTTCTTTTTGACACACAAGCAGAATGAATTGTCAATAATGATAAGTGACTATGGATTCCATTTCATCTTTATGTATGAGTCAACCACTGTACTCTCTCAACACACTCAATTTTACTTTATTGTAATTGAAAAAGAAGGGAAAAAGAAAAAAGGAAAAATATCGGTTGTGTTTAGGAGGGTCAATACAAGTTGTTGTTGAACTTTGGGCTACTAGGCCACTCTTCCAGCTTTCGGCCTCTATGATAGTCTCCAGCCTAGGGCCTCTCTTGTCATTTGTCAAGGTTATGGGTCCTTTTGGGCCTCTATGATCGTCCCAAGCCTTTATTTAATGAAATGGAATTGAATTTCCGAATTAAAAATTAAAAAAAAAAAAAAACTTGGTAGTGGGTCCAGATACATTGAATCAGCATGGAAAGGACGGCTGGGGTAAAAAAGTAAACGCAGTAATTGCTGCAAAAATACGTTGTCGTTGGAAAACATTTCGGAAAAAAGGTCAAAGCACAAGCTGATATGTTTTTTATGCGTCAAATTTTTTTTTTATGATTTTAAGATTATATATTTTTTATTGATTTAGTTTACTCAGAAAAAAAAATACTTTTTTATATATTTTTTTACTATAAGATTTAAACCAATAAAATTAATATGTATATAACTATCACACCAATTTAAAATTTAGAGATTAGGTCCTAATATTTAAAAATGAATAATAGAACATGTTAATATATATAGTTGCATCATGATTAATTTTTGTGGAAGAAGGGAGGGATACGAACATAATTGGATTTACATCATGATTATATATATTTAACTACTTGTTATTTTTTGTAATTTGCTTATTCTATTTCTTGGATTTTAATCATATTTTTATTTGATTAATTTGGGAATTTATTTCTGTCCAGCATAAGAGGATGTCAAGAGTTAGATCATTCTATCATTACCCAAAATTTTCAAATAATTAATAAACCTTTTTTATTTTAATTTTCTTTAATAAATATGAAAATACATAAAAAAATCGATTAAAAAAACTTACATAAAATATTATTAAATTAACTATGATTAATAGTGGTACAAAATTAAATTAATTTTTTTGAAAAAAAAATTATTTGTTTTGGCTGCAAAACTAAGAGAATATTTATTACATTACTAAAAAAATTAAAAGATATACAGATATCACTATTCATTTACTGTAGCAATGCTATGATTTTTTATTATTATTATTTTTTAAGGGCTGGCTTCTTCAGATGGGGCAAACCGGCACTATATAAAGCAGGCTCATTCCAAAAATGTTTTGTATGTATTGGAAGAAGAAAAATCGGCGGTTCAGTAGGTCATTACATTACATTACAATTACAATAAAACTAAAAGAAAATGAGAAGCTACTGTAGCACTTCACTATTCATTCACTATTTACTTTCTTTCTTTCTTTCTTTCTTTCTTTTTTTTTTCTTTTTCTTTTCGGTAGCTGGCTTCCAAGCTTTTACACTTTTTTTTTTTTTTTTGGATTGCTAGCTTCCAAGCTTCTAAGGAAATTGTTTTTTTATTTTGGTCCCTTTTTTCTAATTTTTTTATTTTGATCATTAAAATTTTATTATATTTGATTTTTATCCCTATAATAAATATTTTTTCTTGGCTTTTAGTAAAAATTTATGTTCTTTTTTTATTCATATTTTGTGATATGTTTTTATTTTGGTCATTAAGTTTTATCATGTTTGATTTTTATCCTTATTATACTAAAACTAAATAAAATTTACTATCCTAAGTTTTTTTTTTTTTGGCTTTTAGTGAAACTTTTCCTTTTATTATAATTCATGTTTTGTGATTTTTTCTTTATTTTCGTCATTAAATTTAGTAGCATTTTTTGAGTCCCTATTTTGTAATTGTTTTTTTATTTTGATCATTAAATTTTTACTATATTTGATTTTTTCCACTGCAATAAATTATTTTTTACTTTTACTAAAACGTTTTGTTACATTTTGATTTTTGTTTTGTGATCTTTCATTTATTTTGATCATTAAATTTTTATTATATTTAATTAGTATTCATTCTACACTAAAATTAAATACGGTTTAACTATTCTAAGGCTTTTTTTTTTTAGTTAAAAAATATTTTATGTTTTTATGGTTATTTTATTAATTTTTTTATTTTGATCGTTAAAATTCTATAACGTTTTACTTTTGTTCCTGCCTTATGCATAATGATTTTTTTAGACTTATTGTTTATAATTTGTTTTTAGTGAAATTTTTTCTATTTATTTTGATCTTTATTTTCTTTGCCAAATTCTCGATATGACAAAGGTTTTTTGTCTTTTTGTTTTGGGTGGTTTTTCTGTCTCATTAACAAATTATAGATGAATAATAAATGATAAAAATTAATCATCTAAAATTCAAAAAACTATCACATTATTATTTTAATTATCAATTATTATAAATGTTTTAATTATATCAAACGATATCTAATTAGCAACATTATATTATTCAACTTTGCAAACTTTTCATTTAACTAACCCTGCTGTAAATTATGAAATACATGTTTTAGTTCTTTTTTTTCTTGCGTGATACTTTTAAATAATTATTTTTAAATTTCATATTGTATATAAATGAATACATAAAAATATTATATAGCTCACTCCGTAGCAACGCGCAGGATATATGCTAGTAAGCTACATTTCATTACCTCGATCAAGTGTGGAACAATTTACGTTTATATTCAAATTTCAAACAAATAGTAGTAATTATTTTCTACTTCACGGTGGTTTCGATAAAGGGTACGAGGGATAAGGCTCTTTTGTTGGTTAGCCCAACACTTCATTGCCCAACTTTTACTGAGCTGGGCTTAGATTAAAATCAAACGTCGAGGCCTCAAAGATAGCTTCACCTGGCCTGGGCTACATGGAAAAATTATTCTGCTATCTGAAAGGAAATAACAAATTGGTATGAATACTGCTATTAGTTTATTGAACTGGAGAATTTGTCCCAAGGAACAAATTGGGAAATGACCTGTAGGTAGCCTTTACAGTCTAATTCTTTATTAAAGAAATTGTAAGCAGATTAAGAAGGAATATGAAATCCAATTTCGTACTTGGAATTATATATATATATATATATATATATATATATATATATATATAAGGTTCTTCACCGTATTGGCATAAATTTCTCATTACTATTGCTATTACTAAAAAAATTAAAAAAATCCAGGAGTGTCACTATTCATTCAATATAGCAGTGCTTTTTTTTTAAGGACTGGCTTTTTTTTTTTTTTTTTAGGTTTTTTAGGTTGGGTTGCTGGCAATTGAGAAAAGAGAGGATTGGTTTTCAAATTCTATATGTTCTAATATAGCAACTGTTCCCCTTCTATATAAATTATTTATTTTTATATTTTTTTATCATGAAATTAGGCATGAAAATATAAAAAAAGATCGTTATTTTTTGTTAGTTTTACATACGAGTTTGACAATAATAGAATATATATGATATTTTTTAAAATTTTAATTTGAAGATATATATATGATTATATTATTTTTATTATTTAAAATTTATTTCTTCGAGTTGTTTGTTTCTTATTTAAATTCTCATTGAGTTAATTTTTTGATTTTAAATAATTTTATTTGTTAATAAATTTGATTTTTTAATAAATGGCTTTTAAAATAAAATTTTATAACATGATTTTTTTATTTTTAAAATATATTATTATAATTTATACGATTGATTATTTTTATGATTTTTAAATAAGAATAACATAGTTGTATATATAAATACTAATGAGAGAGAGAGAGAGAGAGAGAGAGTGTCGGTGTATTTTAGATAATTTGACTTAAATTTTTTTAAAAATTAATAATTAGTTACAAAACTCACGGGTTTTATTTGATTATATATATATATATATAATTAGTATTTATCGAAACCAATTTTATAGTAATTTTTATTTAAATCTATTCACTTCGATATATTCATGTGACTTAAGTAAGTTTTTTATATTTATTTATTTATTTTATATACTCGGATTTGCTAAGTACGATATATATATATATATATATATATATATATATATATATATATATATATATATATATATATATATATATATATATATATATATATATATATATATATATATATATATATATATAGTTTTGTCATGTGTAAATTCTGTTTAGAGGGAGGAGAGAGAGAGCTAAAAGTGTGTTTTAGATAATTTAACTTAAATTTTTTTAAAACATAATAATCAGTTAAAAAAATAATTTGGTTCAATTTTTTTAAAATTAATAATTAGTTAAAAAAACTCATATTTTTTATTTGGTTATATATATAATCGGAATTTATTGAAACAAAATTTATAATAGTTTTTATTTAAATCTATTTACTTTGATATGTTCCATGCAATTTAAGTTATTTTTTATTTTTATATTTATTTTATATACTATAAATCTAAGTATGATATATATATATATATATATATATATATATATATATATATATATATATATATTTGTTTATATAACACCAAATTATTTGTTATCTATTTTTTTTTCATGTTCTAAAATTTATATTTTTATATATATAGTTTTGTTAGAAATTAATTTTTTCTGTATACATAACACCAAATTATTTATTATTTATTTTTTTCATGTTCTAAAATCTGTATTTTTAAATAAAATAATTTAATTAATGTTTTGAAATAACCTTTTAATTATTCAAATACAAATTTTTATACTAATATTATAAATTATTTTGTTAATAAATATATATAAATCAAACAAGTTCGTTTAATATATAGATTCGATTTATATTAATTTTCGAAATAAAACATCTACTATCACATTATATGAATAATTAATCATGTGTATATAATGATTATGTTATCTGCAGCAGTAGTGCGAATATCTAACTAGTCTGTTTTTAAAAATTATATTTTTTAGCATTTTATATAAATTAAAAAATTATTAATTATTATATCATAAATATTATTTTTAAAAATTATATTTAAATAATTTTGTAATAAGATAAATCTCTAAAAAATTTTGACCGTGCAACCATTTTAGAATACATGCAAATAAATAGGCATACAGTATCCGTATAAGAGGAGGAGTTTCCTCCTATGCATCTAGCCCAACCTAAAATGCGAAGAAGTTTGCCTTGAGCTTTTTGCTGCTTTACTCTGCCACCGTACTCACACTAGCTACAGTAAACTCATTACCTACTAATCATCAATTCATCATGACCACCGCCGTCGAGCAACCGCCACACGTCCTGGTGTTTCCCTATCCAGCCCAAGGCCACACCCTCCCTCTACTAGACCTAACAGATCAACTCTGTCTCCATAGCCTCACAATCACTATCTTGACTACCCCCAAAAACCTCCCTACCCTCTCTCCTCTCCTCTCCACTCACCCACAAATCCACACCTTAGTCCTTCCCTTGCCATCTCACCCTTTAATCCCTGCAGGTATTGAAAATGTCAAGGAGCTTGGTAACGCTGGAAACTTACCCATTATTGCAGCATCTACCAAGCTCTTTGACCCCATTCTCCAGTGGTTCAAGTCCCACAGCAACCCTCCTGTTGCTATCATCTCTGATTTATTTCTTGGCTGGACCCAACACCTGGCCCAACACTTAAACATACCCAGATTTGCTTTTTATCCATCTGGGGCTTTTTTGGCTGGTGTTTTAAATTATTGCTGGGATCATCTGGAGATTGTAAAGAGTTCGGACGTTGTTGATTTTGTTGATTTGCCTGGATCACCGTCTTTTACAGAGGAGCATCTGCCTTCCCTGTTCCGTAGGTACAGGGAATCCGATCCAGACTGTCTGCTTGTCAAGGATAGCTTGACTGCAAATAAGTTGAGTTACGGGTTCATTTTTAATAGTTTTGAGGCATTGGAGGGTGAGTATTTGAGTTTTTTGAAGAGAGAATTTGGGGACGAGAGAGTTTATGCGGCTGGCCCAGTTAGTTTGTTGGGTCCGGATAGAGCAGTTCGGGGAGACCCGGAGATGGGTTCTTCTGGTAACGTGTTTGAGTGGCTCGATGGTTGTCCCGATGGGTCAGTGCTTTACGTTTGTTTCGGGAGTCAAAAGCTGTTGAACAAGAAACAAATGGAGGCACTAGCTAATGGGCTTGAAAAGAGCATGGCCCGTTTCCTTTGGGTCGTGAAAGCGGGCACGACCCGACAAGTTGAAGACGGGTACGGGGTGTTACCCGATGGGTTCGAGGAGCGTGTGGCGGGTCGGGGTCTGGTGATAAGAGAGTGGGCCCCACAGGTGAAGATACTGAGTCACAGAGCTGTAGGTGGGTTTCTGAGTCACTGTGGGTGGAACTCGATTGCTGGAAGGGATAGTAGCTGGCGTCATGATATTGACCTGGCCCATGGAAGCTGACCAGTTCATTAATGCTCGACTGTTGGTGGAGGAATTGGGAGTGGGAGTGAGGGCCTGTGAAGGGACAAACACAGTGCCTGACTCGGACAAGTTGGCAAAAGTGATAGGTGAGTCGACGAGTGAAAAGGGTGTGGACGTCAAAATGAAGGCCAAAGAGTTGAAAAAGAAGGCGCTGGAGGCCGTGAGAGAGGGTGGGAGCTCCTCGAATGACTTAGACAGGCTAATCAAGGAATTATTCAAACTAAAAGTCCACTGAGAGGGTTGTTGGAATATTGAATTGCATGTTCTATAAAGCTTCCAACTTCGTGGTAGGTAGCTCTATTTAGGCCATGTTTGGCATCCATAAGATTAGCTATTAGTGGTTGGCTTTTGCTGTTGAAGTGCGGAGTAAAAGTTGTGATTGAGAAAAAAAGAACATTGATAATAGTGAGATTTTGAATAGTATTAACTCTTTCAAAACCTCTAATTCGTTAACATTTCTTATACGTCTATTTTATACACACACATACATATATATATTCTTTTTAAGGGAAATAAAATCAAAATGTATAGAACAAGCCAACAAGTAGATACTCTTATAGGCTCAAAGGAGTTACTGGTTTGCCTTCCACGCAACTTGAGAATTGAGACTAGCAAGGACAAGAAAGATCGTGATGGATTTTTCAGGCAAACGACGCTGCTGTGCGGTGTCCATAACCCAAACGCCACTTGGTTGGCATCTTTTGTGAACTTTCCTTCTCTCTTAATTTTTCAAGGAAAAATCTCAAATTAGTCCTTCATCTATCCATCAATTCTCAATTGGGTTCTTAAACTGAAAAAGTTTTCATTTGGGTTTCTAATGTATCTACCATTGCTCAAACCTCAGTTGGCTTCTTTCATATCCATGTCTGCTAATGTTTTAGGCAGAACTCAGATTAATCTTTAATGTATCATCCAATTTTCATTTTCATCCTAAATAAAAAAATTTATCAATTATATGCCTAATTTTGTAGACACTTCTTAATTGGATCCTTTCCTCCAATATACGTTAACCTTTTTTTTGGGGTCAAATTTTCTTCAAAACTAGAAGAATTTATTGCATAAAGTATGTACATTTTAGGGAAAAATATTAACGAATATGGACATGCAGTGGAACCCAATTAAAAAGTATTTGAATCATTAAGGATCCAATTGATAGATCTTTTGTTTTGCGATAAAATGAGAATCGGATGATAGGTCAGAAAGAAAGAAGGGAAAAGGTTTCTAATACTTCCATTGTGTTATGTAATAAATAATGCCATTTTTTAAATGAATTTATTTTTTACTTTTAAAAGTTTGATGATGGTTTTTAAAGAAACAATTGAGAAATGCATTACATTGAGGATGGAATTGATAAGCTAATTATTTTGTGATGAAATTGAGAATAAAGTAGTATATAATAGATGAAAATGACATTTCTATTTTTTTTCCATTGTATGGAAAATGGCCATCTTTTTCTTCTTTTCTTTCCTAATATAAAACGCACTAGATTCCAAGTGCAGCACATCGATCAAGTGATGAAGAAGTCATTATCAGCAACCTTAGATGCTAATCAGGCTAACACAAGTCGCATGATATTCATGGGAGTGCATATTGATGATTCGTTAAAACAGCGACTTGCATAGATAGAATTAGTAATCTGAGATGGGTGAATTGAATCAAAATAGATATATCTGTCCCTCACTGGGCATGGATCATGTTCTCCATCCCAGCAAGCATTTTGTGTATCTGTTATACCTGCCATTAAAGAACAAAATTGCGTTAGAAGGACAGAAATGATAATTACAAATTACGATACACAAGATGAGTTTTTCCTAAACAAAAAATAAGATGGGTTTTTGTCTATTCAAAAACTAGCACGATGATATATATATATATATATATATATATATATATATATATATATGCAAGAAAATGAAGTAGGATTACCATATTTTTCTTTATTTTCCTTCAATTCTTGTAAAAACTTGAAAGTGTCGGAATGTATGAAGAAAGAGCCATGGAGTTGAGACTGCAACTTTTGTAGCTTCATGGAGAGCTCCTTGTTGTAGGAAAGCACAGCCTGGTTGATTGATTCAACACAGTCTCCTTCATGTGGAGTTGACCTGGCAATTGCTGGGATGCATCCTAATGGTCCAAGGCCACTCACCATAAACTTTCTAGCTCCTATCAAATAAAGTCTCTGCCAGGATAAAACATGGCATGCATGTTGGTAAATAACATGATCGAACATTAATTAGAGAGGAACAAACAACCTGCTTCGTTTATTTCCATCCTGATTTTAAAGAAAAAACAACGAAAAGCTAGATGGATTACTTAATTATCAAACGCCAAAATTGCTACGTTTTTAGTCTGAATGATTACCACTATGTACTGAAAATTATTAAATTACATGCTAATAGAAGAATTCAATGGGCTATACATTCGTCCTTCCACCTTAAGAGATTTTGAATTAAAACTTCTTCTTTTTTGAAAAAAAAAATTTCCCTGGTTAATTATACGAGATAGAGGTGAGGAAACCAAACCTTGTAAAAATTGTTAATTAGTGTTAAATCTTATTAATTGAAGATAATTCAAAGAAAGAAATGAGTTGAAGAGAGAGAGAGAAAAACCTTCAAGCGTTTGACAAGTTCATCTGAAAGGAATTTGGCAAAATAATCTGGTGAGAAAAGCTTCTTCGTTTTAGATGCAGTGTTAAGATAATTCATGATGTAGTCATTGGAACCAACGGAGATGATGAAGATGGATTTGGCCAAATGCATTTGGATGTTCTGCACTTCCAAAGTCTTTGCAGTCCTTTTGAATAGTTCTGTCTGGTCGTCTAAAGTCAAGCAGGATCCCTTACACAAAAACCAAAAGAACTAACTGGTCAGACCTTCCATTTAAACGTGTAATGATCCACTGCAATTTCAACCGTCGGGTATATATATATATATATGTTTAGCCAAATGTAAGGTAACCAGTTATCGTCATGATGCAAATGATGTGATGATTGTTACCTTAAGAGGTCTAGTTTCCGGCAGGATACCACAGGAGGCAGATGCGAAATTCAATCCGGTAGTTGTCTTATGCCTCTCAACTCCAGAAAGATTCATATAAGGAGGTGCAAAAGGTAAACCGAGAAATCTAGCTGCAGGAAAAAAAAAAAAAAAAACATTAAATACAATTGCATATATAACAGGAGGAACAAAAAAAATGATAAATCCATAAGGGTGATTTATTGGTTAGGAGGTGGAATGAGAATTTAATTATGAGATTATAGTCTTAACTAGCGTGAACGTGCAAAAATCCCTCTACCCATTCTTGTGGCCCAGCATCTGGGCTCATGGAATTTGTTTGGAGCAGCAACTTTACTAAAAGCTACCGTCGTCTGTACGAGGTTTAAATATAAAAAAGAAAGAAAAAAGTGATGGGTTTCTTAAACAGTATATTAAGAAGAAATGAGTGTTACCAAAATAATCTGGAACAATCATGCCATTAGTGAAACGACCATTTGTAGTACGATTGAAGTCAATGCCATAAGGAAGAGAATTTGCTTTGGCTTTTGTTGAAAGATTATTGTTGTTTCCTGCATCTACAGTGGAATCACCAAATATATATAAGGCTGGTACAAGCTTGGTGTTCTTAGCATTGTCACAGATGGAGAAAAGCTGAAAGACAAGGAAATAAGAGAGAGATAGAAAGCACCAATATCAGAGATTTTACCATGGACCTTAACAAATAAAAAAAAAAAAAATACTCTACTCTATATTATTTTGGTTCAAAAAGAAATATAGTATTACCAAACACCTTTGCAGAAACGCAAAAGTAAATGCACCCACGGCTGAAAAAAGAGCTAAAATAAGAACCACAAATATTGCAAGATGAACCCTCCTCATAATTCTCTTTGCAAGAAGAAAAAAATTGTAATGTTTAAATGTTATGTTATGCCTTAAATTCGTTTTGAAAAACAAAACTTATGCCTTAAATTATTAGTAAGTTTAATTATACAATTGACTTTTAATTGTACGCGTTAATAACATCCATTAAGTTCACCTTCGATCTATTCTCACACACAAGTCTCCTTCCCATACTTTAATCTTCTTCATTTTAGGATAACTTAATTAGTAACTATACATGGGAGCTCAACCATCTTTGTGGGAATGCAAAAGCAATATAAACGAGAGACTAATATTTTCAAGATCCAGATGGCTTTGGTGAGTTTATATACAAAGAAAATTAAACGATATAAAAATTTTATTTGGCATTTCGTTATCTTTCTATTTACACAATGGTAATAAAACTTGGTTACCTTTTATACTTTCTGGCTAAAAAAGAAAAAAAATCTGGTTGTGAAAATGTTTAGATCAGTTTACAGAAATTAAGTGAAGGGATGAAGTTATTCCTCAGTTACAAATATAAGTATAAATTAATAAATAGAATGTTATCTTAATCTTTATTTAATTTGAGAGTTACATAATCTAAAAATAACTCTTTCCCTTAAAACCCAATAAAGAACCATATTTTCTCCTATTATGTGATTTCCATAACCAACAGTACGTACCCACAGTAATGAGCTTTTGATATTCCTCAAACTCAAAGAACAATAAGTTTGTTTGAAATGATCAAAATGAATATATTCCTAAACTTATTCACCGAATTACTACAAACCATAGGTTCTGTATTTGATCATTGTTTTACTTTTTTCATCATTCTAGCTTTCATCTTCGTGATTGTAGAAAATAAGGTTAGTATTGATCAACGACCGATCACGAATATATAATTTCATCAATTTAATATTTTCGTCTCCCGTCGATACCAATTTATTCATTTATTGCTTTCAGAAGTATATGTAGAGAAGCTGCAGTGGTCAAATTTTAATTAATCATGAATGTGCACCTTGGAGTTTCTGCTCGTTATGTTTAATTCACTTTTAATTATCAAATGGAGTTGCAAATTTTTTCCCTATTTGTTTCCATAAATTTCATTTCTCTATGATTATGATTTTTTTATTGATTAGTCTTTGTATCTCTCGTGCATTATTTTATTTCGTGATCCATCAGTTAAAGGGCAACTTCTGTATCATTTCATGGCCATGGCACAAGCTTTTCTGTCTTGCTTTCGAGAGAGATTTTCTGATTTCTATTTTGTCACTGTAGAGATGGAACCTATACAGTAGTAGGGGTGTAAACTGGTCAAACAAACACAACACTGCCTGTATTTGATGGCATTAGGAGGAGAAGATTAACTCATGCTGCACCTCAACAAGGGGTTTAATTTCTTACCAGTTTTCTTGAATGTTACAAAAATCATCAGGAGCATGGATATTTTGGTGATATTAACAGTTTTCTTGAATTTTTTTATTTGTTCGCAATAAGCTGCAACAAGGACCATGGCTTCTTGAACTTGACGTAGCTTATGAGAAATGGAAAATCAAGTCTTGTTCTCCATTGTATTTTACTTGAAATTAATTCCTTTTGAGTTTTGTTGCAACCAGAAATTTGGTCTACCTCGCAATATTCTGTACAAAAGCTATTTGAAATTTAAATGCATAGTATTCATTACATATAGAATCCAAAACCGTAAGCCACAAAATGTTTAGGCTGAGACAAGCATTCGAAACTATCGTGGAGGCTCGGAATTGCATTAAAAAGATATCTATAGAAATGTGTTTCCTTCAACTAGATGAACCACGTCTAGCTGACACCATTTATCCCAACTTTTACAATCTCGTTGGCATCACTACCCGAAAAGCTGAGATCTCTACGCCTAAACTGGCGCATACACTTGGTGGATAAGCTTTGGCACAAACTAGAACGTATATCTCTTTTTGCGATTTTGACTCCTTTGTGAATCTTGATGATGCAGTTACCTTTTCCACTCTCTCATATTGAGACATAGCTAGCAGTGAACTTTCTGTCAAGATCTTGAAGAGGAGGAGGCTAGGGAACCTGAGGAGGAGAGAACACAAAGTTCTAAATCTGAGAATTGTTGGCATAGAGATTAAAATGAGATTCTAGACAGAAAAAATATGAAGCAGTGGAGACATGAATCTATAAACAAATCATTTCCCTATACAGCCATGCATACTTCCTAATGCTTTTGTTCGTTCTTTTTCCCCCTTTTGTCTTCGGCACTGCATTCTCGTTTCTTTTCCTATATCTCTCTAATCTTCATTTCATGTAAAGAGACAATTCTAAAATTTTACATACCACTGTTGAAAGCTTAGAAGTAGAAACTTCAAGAAATTAAATGATGCGCACAAGGTTGAATCTTTGCAATTAAGTGCCTGATATATTTCAGGAGCTGCTTCTCAATGCCAAGTCGTAACTCAGATAAGCCACAACTTGCATGTATTCCTTTCAACATTCACTGATCTCAACTCCAATGCTTGCAAGCATGTAACAAAAATCGAGTCATTCAAACCTGGGATTGGAGGTGGGTTTTAGAAGAAAAGAACTTGAGGTATATTAACTAGCAGGATACATATAGAAATAAATCAGGGAAAGAGAATTCCGAAACATAAAGTCAAGTATTTTCTTACCACAGATGTTTGAGATGTAACAAAGGTAGCAGATTTCAGAACCAGCTTGTAAGTTCAGTAAAACCGAGAAAGATCACTGCAGAAAATGTTAACCAACTTGTTTGTTTTCACTGAGCATATTGTCCTCAGCTTTTGTAATTACCCATGATTCACAAACAAACAAGATGATGAATGTCAAAGACTGCCTTCTTCCAGCTACTCTGAACAAGAAGAAGGAAATCAATCAAACGTGAATAGATACATGAAAATGTTGACCTTTATGCTTCATTGCATAAAAAATTACTCCAAAAAGAAAAAAAATCAAAAATAGAAAGAAATAGGATTGCATTTTGGGATTGCCAGAAGCAACTTCATTCTATTCTGACTAAAGAGATTACCGAGAAAACTTGATTGTTCCAATACCATCAAGCACTTCCAAATTTCTTTACGAGCTCTCCACAGAATATTCACTCTAAACTGGCAACTGGCATCGTAATAATCTGCCAAATACAATAAACCTAGAAGGTGAACTTAGGGACGCTGCCAATGCAATCCTGTGAATTTAGCGTTCCACAACAAGTATCAACATACATTGTCTGTAAGCAACAGAAGCTGCTCTTCGCCTGCAAATTCTTCCCTCTGTAATAAGCCCAAAACAGTTAAGGACTCATCTGAAAATTTCTTTGACAATAGAGAACACACATATTATATGTCAGAAGCTGCAACTCTATAGACTACAACGAAAAGAACTCTGCAGCATACACATACAAAAGATTCCTCTGCAAATAATCCAGATTGTTTTACTTCCTAATTGATCCCTGACAACATAAAAGACCTGCATAAACCATTTATTGTTGTTCAAGAATAAATGCATACAAAAACATATATAAATTGCTCTAGCCCAACAAGATGGAAATCTTCACAGCTATTTGGTGGATGAATAAACATACTTTACTTTTTCCTTACAGTTCGAATGGTTCAGGAAGAATATAACTAGAGTCCATTGGTAAGGATATCTCACCCACTTTCTCGATGATGTTTTGTAATCCCAGCTATTCTGATATTTTCTTACATGATTATATCATAAAATGACAGACAATAGCCTCTAAAAGCTAAAATTGGGAAAAGCCCAAGGAATCCTCATTTAAAATCTAAAATGGTGCATTTCCTATCTTGAAGCATCTGCAAGATACTCTTAACAGTATTCGGTGTCGATTATCCATGACAGCGAATTTCATGAAAACACATTGTAAGTTAATTCTATAATTGAAAATGACCATAAGGGATACCTTTTGTACGGAATGTGCACAAACTTCTGAAAAGAACCAACAGCTTTTACATAGATGCAGTGAACCAGATTGGAAAGGCTATTTCATGGATTAATTATGAAGTAACCCAAATTTGATCATCACAGCAAGTAGTTCGAACACCGAATGGACATGGCCAGCTCTGTGTAAGGCATTAAGCATCATTTCAAATATTTCTTGATCAGGGGAAACACCATAAGATAACATAATGGAGAAAAAGTACTTGGCTTCACTCGTTAGACACCTCTTGCAAAATCTATTAACAACAGCACTATAATCGTTGATTGATACTTCAAACCCCTTCTCCACCATTTGATGGAAGACATCCACTGCTCTGTGCGCATCACCCTTGACACAATGTGCTTTGATTATTGTGGTGTAAGCAACTTTTGTCAAATTAATATTTCGCTCCTGAAGAGAAACCAGTACATGGTCAGCACCCTTTACGTCACCATATCGACAAAGACCATCAATGAGAAGATTATACGTAACAGGACTAGGCTCTAGGTTATGAAGCAACATATCATCAAGTAATTCAAATGCTTTTCTCATGTCTTTAGCCTTGCAGAAACACTGAATGATCGTATTGTATGTGATTTGATCAGGAGCTAGTCCTTTACCACGCATATCCTCTAGTAATTGTACAGATTCTTCTAATTTCCATCGTTTGCACAGTCCTTTGATTACCACGGTGTAAGTGACATGAGTAGGTTCTATGTTGTTTAAATTCATCTCAAGCAGCAATTCGTGCAAGTTGTTTATATTACCCTCTTCACAGTATGCATTCATAAGAGTGGTATATGTTACTGCACTTGGTTCCAATCCATGCTGCTTTATTGTATCCAACAACCTTCTAGCCTCAACAATCCTTCTGTTTTTGCAGAATCCATAAATAAGAGTATTAAAAGTTACTATAGTAGGAGTTATTGCTTTGTCAGCTAACTTCTTGAATAATCGGACAGCCTCTTCAACATAACCAAGTTTTACATACCCATCGATCATGATATTATACAGAATGATATCAGGCTTCAAGTTACTCATTATAAGAGAGCCAAAATACATCCTGGCCTCTGATATCATCCCTTTCTCACAAAAACCCTTCAGAATACTGCTATGGGCAAAAGAATTTGGATAGATTCTGTTGAAGCGCATTTCGTTATATAGTTGTATGGCCTGTTGGACTTTTCCTTGCTTGCAGAGGCCACGAATGACGATAGAGTACGTAACAAGATCTGGTTGCAAGCTGTTGGCTTCCATTTCATAAAGCAATTGCAATGCTTCATCAACTTGTCCACGTTTACACAAGCTGCTGAGCAACACACTGTATAAAATGACATTCAACTGAAAACCACTCGAAAGCATCTCCCTTCTCAGCTTTAATGCTTCCTCAACATTTCCCATTTGGCAATGCCCGCATATTAGTATTGTATAGGTGACAAGATCTGGCCTTAGCCCTTCATCAGTTAAAATTGTCTGAATAATCTCCCGAGCCCCACTCATCAAACCAAGCAGATGGAAACCTTTGGCAACAATTTTGTAAGTTATTATATCAGGCTGTACCCCCTGCTTCTCCATGTCATTCGCGAGCTCCAAAGCTTCTTCCATGGAACCAGCTACACACAACCCATGAATAAGAATATTATAACTGTATGTGTCGGGACGTAATCCATATTTGAGCATCATACAGAAAAATGATTTTGCAACATCAGCAAAACCCAATTCACAGTACCTCGACATGATGGTATTAAAAGAAACAACAGAAGGTGCAAACTCCTTCCCATCATTCTCCTGCAAGAACAAAACTGCATCTAGAAATCTAGACTGCCTGCATAGCCCATCTACAATTATGGAAGTAGTTTGAGCATTCTGAGGAGTGCCACTGTCTTTGATATCATTGTAGGCCTCCCACATAATATCGGTGTGTCTGAAGTTGTGCAACAAACTATTGTATGTATATATCGATGGTTGCAATTTATGTTCTTTCATCTTCACAATAACAAATAGAGCATCATGAACCATCTCAAATCTCGAATAAACAAAAGCTAACATATCCCATACCACATTGGTCGAATCCCAACCGTTGAAGCTCCTTAAAAGCAGCTCACAAAGCAAAGGAGCTGATCCAGAGCCTATCAGAAATCACACGAATCTATAAACAACAAAATTAGCATTTTTAAAAACTTCAACAAACAAAAAACAAAACCCTAATTATTAAAATCTATAAATAGCCAAAAACGCATCAAATTAACCTAAACAAACTCATTAGTCTCATTAAAAAAAGAAACCTTTCAGCTGATAGAAGCCAAAAAGATCCTTTTTTGACATTAATTTTGATAGGAGAAAAGAACACACCTTCCAGTTGAAGCATTTGATCCAAAACCAAACGCAAGTCCATAAACCTTCTCTTTCGCGCCAAAACATGGGAAACCAAAAACCTTGAAACCCTCGAATGTTGGAATCCAAACTCATTCCTTAACAAATGAAAGAAATCCACCACAAAATCCGCATTCTGAACACTCAATTTCTCCATCACAGTTTCCTTTTGAGACTGATTTAACATAAAAAACAGGTCTTTGAAGTAATCCCTACTAACAAATTGTCTAAAACCCAAGTCCCTAACGCCAGAGAGAATCTCGTGAACTGGGTCTGTAGAGATTGGGACAATAGGGACGGTGGTGGTGGTGGTGGTGGTGACGGCGAGATTGGCGGCGGAGGAGACGGAGAGTTTGCAGAAGATGAGAGGCGTACGAATTGGGGATTTGATGAGAAAATTTAATGATTTGGTCCATTTGTGGAGCATGGAAAAGAAAGGGATTTTAGGGTTTTTTAGCAGATGAAGATTTGTTTGGTTCTTGGGAAATTTTGATTGAAAATCAGGGTTTTAGATAGGAATAAAACCGTTAGTTTCCCGGTAGTTTTGAAGGTTTTGAGAGGGAGACAGGCTCTAGGAGAGAAGTAGGAGAAAAAAAAATATTGGGCTTAGAGTTGAGATAGCATCTATAACGCAAGTTGAGAGCCCTGCGATTTTTTCCCTTTTTAGCAGTAAAGCATAATTTTAAATAGCACAATTGTAAAAACAATTGCTTTTAAAACCTTAACATCTTATAAAAAATATATAATACATTATAACTTCAAAATATAAGTTTTTTATGTGGATAACATTTGAAGAAATGTATAATAGATTTAAATTTTTGAAAAAAGAAGCAAAAAATATAAATATATATTATGTTATTATGTAATAACGAATAACTATATTATCTATTGATAATGTTATTATTTTTTGTCATCTGTGTGAATCGAATATGGATACATTACAATAATAACTGACGATAATAAAAATATCCAAAACCATTACAGATTGTTACTTAAATCCATAATACAAAGAACAACTTTTATATACACTAAGTGTACATGGTAACATGATAGTAAGTAATTTTGTAAAAGTGTGGTTGGATTGAAATAATATTAAATTTGATTTCTTTTCATATTTTCTTTTTAAAATATTTTTATTATTAGCACATCAAAATTATCTAAAAAACATGAAAAAAAAATATTAAATTTATGTTTTTCCTATCCAAATAGAGTTTTAAAAAGCATATTCAAATTCAATATAAACGCCTTACTAAACACATCCTTAATAAATCTCTTTTTGTTGGACATGAAGCACTCCCATTCACATTCAAATCTATATGTTCACAAAAAGAAAAGAAAAAAAAATTATCTCCTCCCCTTTGAGATTTAAACTTTGATTGATAAGGTGGGAATCAAATCCAAGTATCAACCAAGATAAACTTTCAAACATTGTTTAGTAATAAAAAATAGAATTGTGGAAATGATAATGAAAATTTTATTCTTATTTTATAAATGTTTAATTAAAAAGAGTAAAAATAAGAATAGAAAGTGAGAGTAAAAATCAAATATAAAAATAAAGAATGAGATTTTTTTTAAAAAAATAGTGATATATCATTTTTATTTATTAAATATTTTTTTACCATCATTATGAACTCCACCATCAAGGGGTGGTTGTGAAAAAAGAAAAGAATCAATTTTTTTTTATTGTTATTATTCCATAACTACCATTATTTTATTTTTAAAAAATATATTACCGTTATTGCTATATTATTATTATTATCACTACTATCTTGTCCTCTTTCTCCGTTACCACTATCAATATAATCATTTTTATCATTATAATAATTAATAAATTTTTTTAATTATTATTTTTATTTATCTGAAAAAGAATATCACGAAATGTAAATGGATTCCTTTATTGATTCCGTCAAACCTCATACATTAAAATTTCTTCCGTAAAGTATGGTTAATGTGCTCCATTTCGCAACAGATAAGATTAAAAAAAATCATAAAAAATAACAATTTTTTTTGAAAAAAGAATATGAACCATTGGATAAATGTATCCACTATTGAGTTCTAAGTTAAAAACCAATGACTCGTAATTTCTTGAAGTTTTTTTTTTTTTTTGGGTCAATGTGTAGCCTTTTTGTTTCATAGTTCCAATCTATCTGACTATGTGGTTAGAAGATTTTTGTTTCTAATCCAATAGGAAGGCAAGCAAAAGCAATGGTATTTGTTTTGCTTGATGTTATAAGGTCGTCAGCAAAACAAGATGGAGTAAAGTTCACTTAACCGAATCCCCCATTAAATTGAACTATTACTGCCATAAACCAGTGCTAACGAACTGAGAGAGAAAGATTCTTTAAAAAGGAGCTATTCTTCAACAGCAATCTATGAAATGACTCTCTCTGCACCAGATTTAGATTTAAGGAGAGAAGCCACTATCACTTGGCAATTTGCCCGTCTGTCCTTTCCCATAAATTATGCTAGTAAACAACACCTATTGACCATTTCTCACATACTTTAGCCCATATTTTTGTGATAATTTCGGAAAGAGTAATATAGCTACGAAGCGATGACGGCATGGGATGAGATTTCTCTGTCTATGCAGGCAACAGGTATGCCTCAGACCTTCGAGGCACAAGAGTACAAGTTAAGAATAATTTGGACCCGTTACCCTTTCATTGAGACAAACACTACAACTATAAGCAAAATTCTAATGATCATAAGTATGTTGGACATTGCCATTAACCATTTAACCCAACCCTGAGACTGAAACTCTGCATTTCCAATTTCACATCATCCAGTAATAGCATAGCAAAAAGAATGATATTAGAAGGAATCATGAATAGAATTAAGGTTTTGCAAGCATGCATATGGATTTATTTATAGGTTGACGTAAAGCATTCTGGAAAAAAATATATACAAAACTAAGAGTCCATTTCTTACATGTGTAGGACCTACACAGATGACTCAACAACAGATTTAGCAACTTGGAGGGGGAAGAAAAAACTGCAGTTAACTAATTACTCTGACCACTTAATCTTAGGAACACAGTTCTAATCTATATGTTGGTGAGATTATTTTAATTAGTAAAAAAATAAAAAAAAATTGAATTTCACTACAGAACAAAATATATGGTAAAGAAACACAGATTGATTGACTAGCTAAACCACCAGAAACTATAAAGAAACAGTCAATCCTTTTTGCTAAACTACATCTTGAGTGTTGATCCATGGAAGACTCTAATGCATGCCAATTTTTATTCATAATTTATCAATCACAATTCACATCAAGAAATTCAAAAGCACCTTCTTCTTCAGAGATTAATTATTATCCCATAGCCAAATTGGTTTTACTTAAAATCTAAGAAGCATGGAGTGATCAATCCATAATGAAATTCACATTTCACCAACTTAGGTGCCTCACCTATAAAGCACCCCCACTTTCTGTCACTACAAACCTTTTATAGATACCTCAACCCAACTTTTTCTATCTACCCCAATTTAAGACAGCAACTTTCTCATCTTCTCCAGACATGTCTAAGGCAAATGTAAGAAAACAAATTCTGGAGAAGAACAACATTTTCACCAAAGAAAAAGAGAAGCCAATAAGTAGTCAAGGGTCCTTCTCTAAGCACCTCAAGAGGGTTTATCCAATTGGATTACATAGAAGCAATTCATCACTATCCTTATCATCAGTGTCATTATCTTTGTCGCAGAACTCAAATGATTCTTCTCTCACAGATTCTTCAGCTACTCCGTTGGAACAGAAAATATCCTTGGCGCTTCGTCTAATTGCTCCACTGGAAAGAAGAGAAGTCCCAGTGGCTAGAAACGTCCAACCACAGCAGCAGCAAAATCAGGAGTCTAATGACGGGGAGGTGAAGAGGTGCAACTGGATTACAAAGAACAGTGGTATAATATGATATACTGTTACATTAAAGTTCAGGAAATTACTGTATTATTTTCTCATACATTTGAAAATTTTTGATATGGCTACATAATCTAAGGATGGGCTAATTTCACTGAGACAAAGAATTCCCTTTCCTAAATCAGTAAAAATATGTATACACTTTTTTTTTATATATATAATTTCTAGTGCATGACATGATGCTTCTTTATAAAAAATTTGACTTTGCTGCGTTAGTGGTTAGGATGTAAAATCTTTATCTAACAGAAAGTAATTGAAGAAAATAAGGTCAAACTTAATAAAGAAGCCCATGAAGCTTCTGTCACCATGTAGTAGTTGAGAGTAACAACATGAGTTAATAAGAATCACATGCAGGTTCTTAAAGTTTTTGTTGTTTCAATCCTTCTGTGCAATTCAAAACAATGGCGTCTCTCTACCAAACTGTAAAGCATCTTAGATTGTATGCATGCATCCACAATTAATGTATGCCAGTCATGATTGCTAATCCTTAATAGGTTCCAACACGCATACCTACTATATAGTACTGAAAATAGATAAGAGATGACAAATTTTAATGCTATATATTTAGAAATTGATTCTAAGGTTTGGTACAGATAAAGTTTATGTGGCATTTCATGATGAAAGCTGGGGAGTTCCGGTATACGACGATAAGTGAGTGAGTTTATATTATTTAAATTAGCACTCTACCTATCTAATCATAATCCTTGAGTATTAATTATGCCTATTTAATTAGTTCAAACGGTGATTCATTTGATGAAACAGTCAATTGTTCGAGCTGCTTGCGTTGTCTGGTATGCTGATGGACTATAATTGGACAGAGATTCTGAAAAGAAGGGAATTATTTAGGTAAGATTTATCATTCCATGGACCACTCCTCCTCGTCAATATATCAGAAAACAAAAAACCTCTATGGCCCACTCTAATTAACTATTGTTTATTGTTTGGTTTATTACACAAGTTTCTGATTTAATTTGTTCTGATAATGTACATAAAAGCTTATAGTTTTGTTAAAATATAGAGAAGCTTTTCATGGATTCGACCCGAATATTGTTGCGAAAATGGGAGAGAAAGAAATCATGGAGATAGCCTCCAACAAGGCAATCATGTTGGCTGAGAGCAGAGTGAGGTGCGTAGTAGACAATGCCAAATGCATACTGAAGGCAAGTCTCAAAAATTTATTCCCTTTCATCCAATATTAATGGATTCATTGGCGCACCAATTAGTTGCATGCTTATTTAAGATTCTGGCTATCTGATTTAAAACGCAGATTGCAAGGGAATTTGGATCTTTTAGTAACTACATGTGGGGTAATGTGAATTTCAAACCAACAGCCAATAGATACAAATATCCAAGAAACGTTCCACTAAGGTCTCCAAAAGCAGAAGCCATTAGCAAGGATCTACTGAAGCGTGGATTTCGATTCGTCGGACCGGTGATTGTGCATTCATTCATGCAAGCAGCAGGGTTGTCAATTGATCATCTTGTGGATTGTTTTAGGTATGTTGAATGTGTAAGCCTTGCAGAAAGACCATGGAGGCATATCTGAAGTTACTACCACTTTTCTACATAAGTTAAAGCTCTCAGAAGGTGTAAATAGAAGGTTAATGCCCCTTCTCTATTGCCATAATTATTCATACTCAAGTTATGCATGAAATTGAATTACAGGAACACGATTGGATTGTATAGCTCCTTTGTTTATTTATTTATTTTCTGGACATTTACAAGTGATTTGTTCTGTTTATTTGCCATCATTTCTGGGACTATCACGGATGAATAAGACTAAATATTTATCTTTTTTTTCTTGTGTATTTGGACTGTTCCATATTATTATTAACAACAAAATGTTAGATGAGACAACTCTGGTTGTGGCAATACTGATTTTGCATGCATCTGATATCATATATAGTCATAGACCAATCTTGAAAACAAAGGTTAAAAATAAATTAATAATAACTTTCTAATATCCAACTAATTAAAATCTAAGGCAAATCTTATAATTCCTCTCTACGTAGGCATTCTTGATGTTGGCGCAGGATGATTTTATATATCAATTATGTCCCCCAAGTTTCAGAAGAGAAACATAAATTCGTTTTGTAAGGAATTTAGCATTTTACGTTAAGAAATCACAACAGAAGATCCAATTTTCTATAATTCAATGCGGAAAAAAACTTTAAAGTCTTTTTATAAACATTTATACTTCTTTCCAATTTGCAATCTTTCGATGTGGGACAATGGGAATGATCTTAAGTTTACAATCATTCTATATTGATTGAATATATTTGGATGGCAGCATGAAACTCAGCTTATAAAAAAAAAAAAATAGATCTAGTTGTCTCTGTTTCTAGCCCACCATACCGTCTAAAAAGAAATAAAAGCATGGGATTGAACTTGTAAACAAAATTCAGCAGTCTTTTTGTTCAAGTTATCCCGTGGGCTCAATGATATATATGGGTTGGATTCAGTGAAGTGTATGGGTTGGCCTTTTTCTTTTTCCCAAGGCTTAATGTTTGGACTGAAATCTTTGGGCTAATAAAAAAATATATTTTTTAGTACATAAGGAGGTTGTTTGGTTTTTGTGTTTTTTTTTTTTTTTTTTTTTTTGGTGGAAATCGAATTTAAAATTTTTTTAAAAAAAATTGAAAATAAAAAATTAAAATAAATTCAATCCAGTTTCTTTTTTAATAAATTTAAATTAAAACCATGTCAAAATTAATATTTTAATTCGATTTGGTTTGGTTTTCTATTTAAGCCGAATATTTGCCCACTCTCTGCTCAAAAGCCAAAACAGTAGGAAGGCGAACAACATTTGTACTCTTGACCTTAAACACTATCCATGTATTCAAAAAAGTTCATTCTCATGGAACTGTGGTCTCCTGTTGAATTCAAAACCGATACAGTAAGTAGGGAGTAAACTCATCTATGATCTATCTTCTGAGCCAAACCTCAAAAGTTCAGGGATTATTTATGGTTTTTTTTTTTTTTTTTTTGGTTTTTTTGGTGGTTATACTATGTATATATACTTGAAGAGTTGATGAGCCAAAGAAAGAGAAACTGAATAATAGCTCTGGCCTTCGGGAATCAACTAGATTTTTATCCGTGAAGGGGAAATCTAGCAACATGTTTTATTTCCTCAGAATAATCTGAAGTGTGAATCAAAGAAATACATGTAATTTTGGTTGTATAGCATGAAGTTTTAGAAAAATATACTGCTACTGCGGTACTATAGTAGACTATCTAACAAAAACGAAAGGATAGAAAGCCCCCATGTTTTTGCTTGCTTAACAGAAATTCCATTCCTTGTTGATTAAGACGCTGGATTATAATACCATATCCTCTTTTTAATTCTTATCTCCTTCACTGCGATATTATTCCTACCATGTCCCGAGAGATTAATTACAGAAGAATATGTACATATATGCCCCTTTCAGCCTGTCTTTTTTAGCCATTTGACATGCTGCGTTGAGTTCTCCTTAATCTTGATTAATGGAATTCTTTAATCTTAACTTTCTCAGATTCCCATTATTGTTTTATTTTTTTAATTACCATTGATACATTCAAAGACTTCCTTTTCAGGTTTTTGCATTCATCTTCTTTCATGCTTTTACATGCATACAGTCACCTGGTTATCAGTCATGGATTTGCAGAAGACCATCTAACATCAAGACCTAATGGATAGACAATAAAATGAAAAACCTTGATGCATATAACATATTTCTTGATTTCACAAGCTGACAATTTACTTGGACTGTGGGCATAAGGTCAACTCTGTTGCTACATATATAAACTGATTAACAAATCCCAGGAAGGTGTCACGAGGCTTAAAAGGGTAGACAGAGTAAAAGATACTGTGAGACTCATCATGAGCTAGCCTGCACTAATGAAAGAAACGGCCTTCACCACAGTGATGGAGTTCACACTCACCATGAATCCATGACTTAATAAATGATGGAGTTCACACTCACCATGAATCCATGACTTGATGTTTATTATTTCATCATTAATCTTCAGAATCCAGACTCTTTCTTTAACACTTATTCTCATGCTGAGGTTCACATGCATGGATTCCGAATCTTGTTTGTTGTACTTTGATTCTTTATTTTTTTCTTTTCTTCTTTAGAATTTGCTGCTTTTCTCAGTCCAATTAATGTTCAAGATGTGGCTAAGTTTCTTAAGGTCTAGTTTCTCTTTTCTTTCTCTCATCATCTATCTGCATGTGCTACACCTTTCCTCTCATTTACTTAATTATCACATGAAGGTAGGTCAGGTCTCAACACATTACACCAAACACAAGTACTCGAGTATGATTAAGTTCAAAGACCAAGGCAAGGCTATTCATTTCAAGAAGAGACATGGTAGTAAACAAACTAGGAGATTTTTATTGATCACATGGTCAGATGTCTTTTTATAACCTAAATAATCAAATCTTTGCTAAACATAACTATGATTTTGCTTCACAAAGTCACAAAGGGAACAAGTAGCTAGACAGATAGACAAGTCCATGAGGCCCACTTTTATATATCTGTCCCCGCCCTCTGCCTTAATTCATCATTTTAGCTTGAACGTTAATCCATTTGAATAACACTAGGCTGGACCCGTACTCTAGGAACAAGTGGATATATAAAATCAAAGCAAAGAGAATCTGATCAAATTAGGCTGCCACGTTGGTCGCTATCCATATATAACTCATTGTTCTGTTGTTAGTTTCTTAATCCTTTTCTGTTAATTTTTTTTTTCAGTCAAATTAAGCAAACTAAAAGAAGAATTAAGGTTGAGAAGCCTTGTCTGGTAATAATGACCGTTAGATGAGACCTTCACCAAACTTTAATGCCTATCCTATTTTAGATAACTTTGATTTGGTTACACATGACTATGACTCACCATATCGATTGCTATCCTTGCTAATTCCACCATTAATGGAGGTAAAATTCAAGTTAGGACTTCAAAAGAGTTGAATTCTTCTCAAGACTTAAGAAAAAGTTGGCTGTTAGAGCCACTATACAGTGAAAAGGACAAGTATGCAGTCTTGGGGAGATCATATGTAAATCTGAAGAGTTGAATTTGTAAACTAATGATCTGATAAAACATGACTCCGATGCTCCAACTCTTTACTTTTAGGACCCAGATAGTTTCAATAACCTTACCTTGCCAACACCTGGAAAGGCCAATTTTAAGCGTTTGATCAAGTCCACAGGTTAAAATGGGACCCTAACATGTGATGTTCCTTTGTTGGTTGCTACGTGCTTCTATGTCAGAACGGACAAATTTTCTTTTGCAATCCCTCTTCCTGAATAGTTGATTTCGAACAACTATGACATAACAAGGACTTGTGTCTTTTTCCAGATCAAAATATAAAGTAATAAAAGCAACAATAATATCCCACAAATTCAGCCGGCTTGAAAATAATTGATAGCCAATTTATAATCAATGGATGACAGACGTCAAGAAAATATGTAAGATGACTTTGGACAATCGATCACGCATATGCATGATTGAATTCAATCCGGCCGTTTTGTATTAACTCCATCACAATGGACAAATGAAACTCAATCTCATCATGGCAACTGTCCATCACATTTTCCAGCATATAAATACGGACACTGGCTTCTGTTTTGTTGGCAACGGCCAAAGAAGTCCCTTGTTTTGCCATTAACATGGACTATTGTAATCTGGTGGCAAGAAAAAAGCAGTTACGATAATTTTGAGTATGGACGCATGCAGCCTTCTCTTCTCTATCTTCAACAAGATGGCAGAACAAACTAGGGGCTTTTCCATACGAAACAACATTACCACAAACTCACTTGGCTACTCAAAATCACAACTTTCAAAATTCTTCCAGAACCTCTCAGTTTGACGATTGGTCCTTGCAGGAGCAATAAAGCTCGAAGCAAGACGCATGAAACTGAACATCAAAAATTGCAACCCCGGGATTAATTCTGGGGAAAATTCACAGCAAATCTTTAACTGCATTGATCGCTGGGTTTTAACAAGCAGATCAGAAGACGCTTTCTGGTATATTTTCAGAGTCAGACCATGCAAGCCATCCCCAACCCAACTATTACAACAAAGATTCAAGCTGGCTAACGAATGATAAAAAAATGGATAAACAAACTGATTTGATAGCGAGATCAAGAAAGCCAAGATGTCAATATTTACATAACATTCTTTCTTTAGGATTTTCATTCTACAGATTATTTATCAAACAAGTCCATAAGGAAGGAGTTAAGGTGAAAAAAAAATATGAAAACAAAAACGTGAAAGAAGAAAGACAACCAATTCCTACTTAGCTGATGCCCAAGAATATATACAGCAGTTGCTCCTACTGTTGATCCAAGCTACAACACCTTACAGGGAGAAAACCCATTGACTGAGCCTACACTAACAAACGTCCAATCCCACAAACCTAGTCTTATTCTTCCTCTTCATACCGGTATCTCATATCTCAAAACTGGCAAGAAGTACCAAGCCTCTGTCTCTGCCTCTGACCTAGGGTAACAGATTTGCGTTTACCAAATGCTGGGTACAGCAGTTCCTGAAATTTCTCCAAAAACAGGGTCCACTCATCCTCAGTCATATCAGCCAGCTCCACAAAACTCATACTTGCAGGAAGCTGCTCGTTAGCACTCCTGTGCCCGGATGATCTATTACTAAGATTGCCATTTTCTGGTTTTGTTCCTGAAAACTTCAGGTTCTTGTCACCTAATGTGGTACTCTTCAATGACATGGAAAGTTTTGAAATGGTTGGGAGTTTTACAAGAGTGCGCAGGGCAGGAAAACCCTCCTGCTCTTCCTCCCCTTCACTTTCCTCTTCCTCCTCAATGCTTTCTTCCAATTTTGAAAGGGGAAAACGACCACTCCCAGCTCCAATCCCAAATTGAAATGGTGACCTGGTCATGTAGTCATCTGCCGCCGCGAAGTCATATTGTGTTTCCTCGCAGTCTAAATCAAATTGGAATTCCGGATCATCTCCCAAATCACCCCTGGGAGAAAATACCTCCCTCTCAGCTATCAACCTCCTTGCCTCGATGCACACAACCTCAAGCTCACTGGGTTCCTCCTCACCAGCTCGAAACTCCCTGCTCATCATCTCACCAATTTCAGCAAGACAGAGACCATAGATGGCAGCTTCCTTGAGAAAAATTGTGCAGAGAATTAGGACCCGCAGACAAGCCTCTCTGATCATTGGAAGCTCCATTCGCAACATGTCACAATCCTTTCCAGGATCAAGTTTTCCTATATAATCAAGCTCGTCATCTGAGAATGGAATTGAAGCCTGAGGCCAATGAATCCACTCAAAGTACGGATCCTCCAAAGTTTCCGGCATGCAAAGCCCATGATCAATTGGAATTAATTCCACTTGCCCAAATCTCCCAACACCATCAAGCTTCCTGACTAGAAGATTCCCAGCATGTCTGTCTGTGTTAAAAATCCTAATGTCTAATATCCCAATACGATGCACAGCAGAAACTGGGAAGCTTGATGTCCCATGATCACTAGCATCAAAATCATGTGGAATGAACTGCTGGAAAGACGCAATCTTGCTGACCTGCTTCTTCTTGTGATGCTTGTTGCCATTCACCCCATCATTGACATTGAAGATTGAGTGAGTGATCTTCACAAGTGCAGTTGGGGGCACATTAGCAAAGTGATCATAGTCGAGAAGGTACGCAGCCACTTCTCTGAACCCCGTCTCCCCAACACGCACAGACCGTTTCAAACCCGGTTGTCCAAGAGCTTTTCCAACAAAACCTTTGGGATTGTTTGGCGCAAAAGGTTCTTCATCTGTTGGCTTCACAATAGCTACACTCTGACCTCTGCTGTTCCTAAAATAGTATGCACCTCCGAGCCCACTATGAACTGGAAGTGGATCAACACCATTCTTGATTGCCTTGATACTTTCCTTGACCAATTGTTTCATTTTCGCAAAGCCATTTGACTGTCCCAATATCTCAATAGGACCACTCTGGTCTCTCTGTTGGATGTCTCTTCCAGTCGGCGAAAGACAGGGAGTAGATGAGCTTCTATGAAGATAGTTCCGTGTTAAAAGAAGAGGTGAATCATTACGAACAGCACTGAGGTCATTCTTCAGCACCATATCCCCAAAAGTCAAGGAACTCTCCTCAGTTGACACATTAAGGGCAATCTGCAACCTTCTTTTCACCGTATGAGCATTGTCACTGCGATCCAACTCCATCCCCAAGACACAACCAGTCTCAGTTTGCACAAAAACCCGTCTCCTCCCAGTAGGTTGTTTCCCTTCCATTCTTTTGCTTCCATGGTATTCCCCACCAAGTGGGCTCTTAAAGACTGCCACTGCCATCTGTGTTTGAACTGGGCTGTCCAATTTACGAGACATGAAAAGGAACAAAATCCCTGCTATCTATTTGGCCGGTGAGAGTGGCAGCAATGAAGGAAGAGAGCTTCTTCCCTCCCAGAAAAGCCCCAAACTCCAAAGCCAATAGCAAAAGATTTAGTAGCAAATAATTCGCTAGTCCACAATCAATCATCAATTCATAAACTCCAAATCAAAACTCCATCCCAAAACTCAAAAATCCAAAATCACCACGCACAAAGAAAAAAAGAAACCGAAGACAGATAAAAATATGTCCCACCCAATGCCTACATTAACCAAGCCATTCCTATTAAACCTCGATAATCTGAAAAACAAACAGAAACAAAAGACCATCAATAATAGAAACACTTCAAAACTATTAGATCACAGAATAAATAGCAGAAAGTCAATTAATTTCACCACAATTAAGTAGATCTGATTCCTATTTATGGATTCCGAAACACCCTTTTAACATAACAAATGGGTTCCATTCATTTTCTTCAACATGCATAGAATCTTGAATGTACCCCGATTCCCATTATCAACATTCTTATGTATTAATTCATCATTAACAACTGATTCCAAGAAATCATTTGAGAAAAAAATCTCATCTGAATGCAAGAAATTACCAAAAAACGAAATCTTTGTTTAGTTAATAATAGAAACATTAATAATCTAAGTAAAATAACTACATTAAACATGAAAATAACAGAAAACAAAAGATTCTGTATTTTATTTTTTACAGGAAAAAAAGAAAAAAGATTACCTTAAAAAGATAACACAAGAATGTTCCTTCAATTGAATCTATTTATATTTTATCAATACAATTACAATTAATATGAAACTGACCTTAAAAACAAAAAAAGAAACGAAACTGACGATGGAACAACAGCGTTAAATCCCAATTAAGAACCGAAATGACATTAAACAACTTACCAGCTTGCAAGATCTGAAGAACCAAACACCCCACAAGATGAATCTTTGAATCAAAATCAGAGCCGTTTCATTTAATTTCAAGAGCGAGCAAGCTGGCTAGCTAGCTTCAAAGGTTGGTGGATGGGTCAGAAAAACCGAGTCAGTCAAGAGAATTACAGAGGTTTAACAAAGAACGAAGAATCGCCCGAGTTGACTCAGCTTCAATTTCTCTACTGCTTATACTCCTTTAAAGGCCAACCCCAAAACCAAAAACCCCTCTCTTTATTATTAAATAAATAAAAGAGGAAATCGCTCTCTCTTTCTCTCTCTCTCTCTCTCCCCCCTTCTTTGTATCTCTGTGGCCTGCGGGTGTTGGTGGGGGTTTCAAAGAACGTTCTTTAACCATATACGCGGTTAAAAACTAACCCTGGTTGAACCTTTACTCTCTCTCTTTCTCAGCTCTTTCTTTTAATTCTTTCTAGGATAAAAAAATGGAAGAGTCTAGAAAGGGAAATCTGATCCGTTGGATTAGGATGGCGTTGGAGGGAGACAGACCGTTGGATGGGAACACGATAAGTTGGTGACGTGGAGATAAGGTATTGGAGGATGACGTGGCCCAGGTCCCCGCATTAACAGGTTATTTGTGTCGACGGAACGGGAGGGAGGAGTAAAGAGTTTTCACAATCCGATGCTGCTCATAGTCACAGCATTTTTTTAAAAAAAATATTATATATTTTTTAGTAAATTATTATGATGCCACTTTTCGTTTAATGGATGGTGGAATTTTTTAACGGACGGAAATGTCCCTTCCTTGAAGTGTTTTGATTGGTTATTGATTTATTTATTTTTTTGAAACAAATGAAAGATAGGTAATTTTTTTTTTTGCGAAAAAAGATTAGATTTACATCATTCCACCATTTTATCTGAAATATCTAAAATTATTGATTTATATCAAAATCGAAATTTAGAATTTTTTAAAAAAATAGCTATGAATCATATGGGGAAAAAAAAGATTTATCGCCAACTATAAACTGTGATAAATGATTTGAACTTGATGGAATTTACTGCCATACCAATTGATTTAACCTGATGGATAAAATTTGTAATTCAATCATCTTTTTTTACTACTCTCTTTAAAATTTGAAAATAAAAAACCAATTGACCTTATTCTTCTCCACTGTTTTCTCAAGATAGAATTTAATTAAATTGGGAGGATTGTGGACCAAAATCTAATCAATTTCTACAATCCACATGTCGTTTACAGTAACAAAATTATACGTGATTAAATTTCGTAACTAGTTGAATTTTTTATGTGATAGTTGGTTGATTTTAAAAAAATAAATTGAAATCATAAATTATAAGAAAAGAATAACACACATCAAAATCACGGCTACCTTTGTCAAAACTGTTTAGTAAAAAAATATATATACACGCCATTACCATATGGACTACTACTATAGAATTTTTAAAGTTTTCAAGGATAAAAAATATTTTTTAGTTATCTTTACTCGTTAATTTGAAAAAAAAACGATTTTAAATATCAATCTTATATATTTATGAGACTAATTTTTTTATTTTTTTATTATTTTTTTGTTTGAATTATAGCTCTAAAGTTCAAAAAATAAAAAATAAAGAAAGAATGGAAGCTTCCATAGCCACTAAACTTACATCTAGATTTAAAATTTCAATGTCTTGACCATATGGACTACTACTATAGAATTTTTAAACTTTTCAAGGATAAAAAATATTTGTTAGTTATCTTTTCTCGTTAATTTAAAAAAAATAAAACGATTTTAAATATCAATCTTATATATTTATGAGACTATTTTTTTTATAGAATTTTTAAACTTTTCAAGGATAAAAAATATTTTTTAGTCATCTTTTCTCGTTAATTTGAAAAAAAAATAAAACAATTTTAAATATCAATCTTATATATTTATGAGACTATTTTTTTATTTTATTATTATTATTATTTTGTTTGAATTATAGCTCTAAAGTTCAAAAAAAATAAAAATAAAGAAAGATTCCATAGCCACTAAACTTACATCTAGATTTAAAATTTCAATGTCTTGACCATATGGACTACTTCTATAGAATTTTTAAACTTTTCAAGGATAAAAAATATTTTTTAGTTATATTTACTCGTTAATTTGAAAAAAAAACGATTTTAAATATCAATCTTATATATTTACGAGATTAATTATTTTTATTTTATTTTTTGAATTATAGCTCGAAAGTACAAAAAAAAAAAAAAAGAATGGAAACTTCCACAGCCACTAAACTTACCTCTAGATTTAAAATTTCAATGTCATCGTATAGTAATAACAACAAATAGCAAATATCGATCCATGGTGCTCTTTTTATTTAAAAAAAAAAAAAAACTATTTGATGAATTATGAGGACCCTACCCTACCCTTAGTATGTTGCACATTTGAGGTACAATGTAGATGACCAAACTGCTGGCCAGGTGGGCCCTAAAAGGAAAAGGAAAAGGTGCGATGGCCCTTTCGCATTGGTAAAATTTCCCGGAATGGTTTTGGATTTCAAATTGTTGTCACATCTTCTGAGGTCCTACTGCTCATGCTTAGAAGATCATATTAGATGATCTGACGGTTCAAATGGAATGTGTCATTTTCAAGCCGTGATGGGGTAACAAATCTGTATGGCCCTCCTCCATTCTGCTCTGCCCAAAAAGGCAATGGGATTCATGGCAACCTAACACACCTGCCTTATCTGCATTCAAAGATTTGTAGCTTTTCAGTCCAAACGGGTCATTTTACTCGGTCCTTTTTGCTGGATCCTATACCAATTCTTTTGTGTACGCTAAACAAGGGAGATCATAGCATGTCTTCAAGTCACTATAGTTTGATAACTTCATCAAAGATTTTGACTTTATTTATTAAATAAATTAGTAAAAACTGTAGATAGACAACGATTCTTCAACTCTTGTAGCAAAAGGGACATCGTGTGAGTCATCGAATAAAAAGCATCTTAAATCTTGATTCGGTTTATATATATTATTAAAAAAATAACACTTAAAAGGTTAAGTTCGACAGGTGAGGTCATAGAATATAATTAATATTAATCTTTAACACACGCTTTAGAATATAATTAATGTTAACCTCTAACACACCTCCTCAATATATATAAAAGGTTAAGCTGATAGATGAAGCTCAAAAATATAATTTATACTAGTCTCTAACATATATATATATATATATATATATATATATATTATCTTATAATTGAAACTTTTGGATTAAAAATGATTATTTTAATTATTTAATAGTTATGAGTTCAAATTTTATCGTTTCTATCGTTTTTTTTAATTAAGTATAACACGGTGTAAATTTTAAATTCGAAGTACTCGTATAAATATTTTCAGTCGATATGTATAAAAAATGATAAGATGAAATTTCAAATCTCCTAGTAAGAAAAATTTACTAGAATGTAACTTTTGTGCACTTATTTTTTCAGAGTCATAATAGTCACTGTAGCTACCACGACAGAAATATATACAACGTTCCATGCCCCATTCTGCAATATGAAATGAGTTTAGGATAAAGTATTGTTAATGCGCTCAAGTTCACTGGGTCCATGGATATTTCCCTTGTTTAACAACATTTCTTGATTAACATATTCCATGCACGAATCTTAATATCTCTTATGTTGGAAGATATACTGTCTCCCTAATGGATTACCCAGCTTGTGATATTTTTGTGCAAGTGGTGTTTTTAAATTACATTCGTTGAAGACAAAACCAAGAGCACTAGTACTCCTGATGGATCATTTTTGTTGCTGGTGTGAAAAAAAGGTATAGTTCTGTTAGAAATTTATTTTCTAATCCTTTGACGTTTTTCTCTTTTACCTAGATCCGAACAATTCAATAGTTCTAGACTTTCTTATTTTTCAAAGGATAAAATGATTATAGCTTAATGATAAGTTTTTTTCCTTCTTATTTTCTACTCTAACAAAACACCATTGATCACAACATATTAACTTCCTCGCATGCCGTTGAGCCATGGGAATGTCGATAATAAGTGATGAAAAATTGGCTAAAATGCTTATCCAAC